CTGCGTATCTCCAGCTTTCAGTACCTGCAGTTCTGGTAAGGATTAGTCGGAACGACATTTGTGGGTATATATGTAACCTGTATGTACATATGTCATTACAGCAAAACTCTGCTTCATTCGCTGCGTGATCCTGAGCAGAGTTCCACCATAGGCGCCAGTGTTGTGCTAAAGTTCTTTATCCAGCAGAAGGGTTCCGAACTGTTCCACGCCATTCCCGACCTGGTTCGCGACAGTTTGCTAGCCTTGCAGGTGTGCGAGGTGCCTAGGGCGAAGTCCGGAGTGCTCAAAGCCCTGGTGGCCCTCACCAAGCACCATCCCAAGTTGGTGTGTGCCGAAATGCTGTCGCAGCCTCTGCCATACGACCAAAATCTGGTGGAGTACTGGCACCTGGTGTGCAATGACCCGGAGTTGACGGGCCTTACGCTGGACAACTTCCTGCAGCTGCTAAGTGGTGCTTCCCTCCAGGAAGGCGGCCAGGAGGCGTCCCTATCCGAACGCCAGAAATTGGCCAGCGGACAGCCGTTCGCCATTTTCTGCGCCCTGCACGAGATGCTGCCCTGCAAGGACATCAAGGGGGTAAGTGCTTGAGGGGATTGCGTTGGATCTACACACATATACTAATTGCTTGCTCTTTTTAGCAACTGGAGACACGGTTTGCGGACATGTTCTGCATGCTGCTGACCTCGCTGAGCAGCTACACCAACTTGGCCGCACCAAATCCTGTGAATTATGCCTCTCTCAGTCCCAACCAGACGCAATCGGGCAAAACCAAGTTCGGATTCGTGCCCAACAAGGAGCTGATCAAGCTCAATCCCTGCCAAATAGCACTGGAAACGTTCCAGGTGGGATAATGTCCAAAAATAACTCTATAACCCTCTACAGCCTATTGCCCCAATTTTAGGCCTTTCTGACCAACCTAGAAATGGAGCAGATTGCCAGCGTGCTGACTGTGAATACCAAACTGGCGAGCAGCGCGGACTGGCACAACTACATCGAACTGCTGACACCCATGGCCATCGGGTTGGGTCAGCAGCTCCACCTGGGAAGTCCGCAGATGAGGCATCTGGTTAACTCGCTGAGCAAATATGTGGCTTCACCATACGATGGTCAAAGGGTGGCCGCCGTGGGTCTCTTCTCCCGATTGGTGCCACTGAAACCCACCGGTGAGTTAGCTGCGTCCATATTGCTCCACCTCGGAGCCGCACTATCCGATCCCAATGCGGTGGTGCGAGGTCTCAGCATTCAGGGCATGGGTTACGTGGGCCAGTTGGGAGAAAAGGAGGCAAAGCGCTACTCGGAAACTGCCATCGGTGCTCTGTTAAAGGGAGTCGACGACCCGGTGGGCGATTGCCTAATCAACATTCCGCTGGAGAGCATGCGCGGCCTGTCGGGAATTCTGCGAGCTTTGCCCAGCGAGCGGGTGGAATCCTTCCACGTCTCTCTCGCCATCCGGATTCGACCGTTCCTCGGCAACTATGCGCTGGAGATGCGAGAGGCGGCCATCCAACTGTTTGGCGACATATGCGAGGGCAAGCACGATGATGGCAGCAGCTCACCCACCTCCTCAACGGAGGCATTGAGAGAGCAGCTCATCGCCAATCTCTTCCCGCTGCTTCTGCATCTCAGCGAGAGCGAGGTGACTATTGCCTCGGCTTGTCGTGGAACACTGCAGCGGGTTTGTCGCCTCCTGACAGCTCCGAAGGTCGTGGAGATGGCGGAGCAGCAGTTGGGCGAGGAGCGAGGTCACCAGCTCAACTACAGCAGCTTTGTGCTGGAATTTGTCAAGACAATCGTGAGTTTATAATGCTCTCAAGAGGAGAAAACAATATTTTGTAAATAAACATATTCTCTTCAGGCACTGGAGCTGACGGATCACATCCAGGACTTCATCGATTCGTGCCTGCCGCAGTTGCGAAGTCAGTGGCCCGAGGTGCGAGGCAGTGCGGCCATCGTAATTGGTAAGTGTTCCAGGGATGCCCAGGAATCCTGAAAGTAATTCAATCGCTTCCCCTATCTCAGGCATCCTGCACAACTTCCTCAGCGAGAGAAACGTTCAAACGGAGACTGTGGCCAGCAAGATAGCCGTGCTGCTCAAGGACGAACAGGCGCTGGTGCGGATGAGGGCAGCCACCGCCTTGGGTTACTTTTTTGGGGACATCTAGAACATTCAGGGGACCAACTCGATTAGATAGATGTGCAGTTATGTTGTGTGTGTTTGTGAATTATAACTTAGTATTGCTCCAAGTGTGATCCCTTTGCCTCAGCAATCGTTCCCATATTATGTTTGATATTTAACTCTTTGTTTTGTTATGTAATCGAAAGTCACGTTATATACTATACTATCTGTATACACATAGCATTATTTATATATTTATATCCAAGTTTGTGCGGTGCGTTTTGCAGCTTTAAGACAGTTGGATGTTATAGGAACTCGTATTCAATAGAAGACTTTGTTACGGACAATAATTACTTCAATATACTGAGTCTATTCAAAATTACCTCGGCTTTTTGGGGTTTAATTAAAGTTAAAAAAGAAAAATCTATGATTCCACAGCAAATGTGATTCTATATGTTTTGCTGCCAAAAATTGCTTATATACCCAAAAAGGGAAATAGTATTTTATTATAAATATTAATAATTCCTTGCAAAAGTAATCAGATATTTTAATTGAATCTACATAAATTGCAAACAATTGTTGGACCAATTTTAAGCAAAGATAATTAGGGATTGTTCATTCTTTGAATTCATTCAATTACCTTAAAGGTGTGAAACGCTTTGTACATTCCAATCGAATATGTGAAAAAGAAAGAAGTGTGTGGGGTGTGGCAATAGGTTCGCGTTCTTTAGAACTTCTTGCTTGTAAGTCAATTACCTGCCACGTTAAAAATATACTTTGAAGCGCCACATTCCCACACCTTTGGATTTATCTCAATCCCCTACAATTGTTGGATTCCAAAATAAGGTTAACCTGTTTAACTGTGTATTAACGCTTACAAAAACCAAATAAACTATTACAATCAAGATCAATGGGCTTAAGGATCAGTCGAAGGCGTAGTATTGGATGCGACCCGACGACCAGGCGATCGTCAGCACGGAGCGATCGTTATCTTTGTAGAGTGACTGGAAGCAAATGAAGCTCGGATGCTCCGCAGCCGTCTCGCCACTCAGATAGTAAGCCGCAGAGATCTGCAGATCATACTTTTGAATAAAGGTGCGGAAGACAGCGATGCAGTTGGTCGACTTGAATGTCACAACCAAGTAGTTGCCATGCGGATCCCATGCAAGCTGCTGGGCAGGACCACCGATCAGCGTGCGATTCGCATCAATGCTGCAAGCATTCAGATCGGCTATGGGCAGGATTTCCTTCTCATCCGCCGAAGCTGCAAACGGGAACAAAAACGTAATACGTAACAAAATCAACTAGTAAATTGGTGTCAGTTTTTGTTTGTAGTCAGCATTATACAGGCGGTCTGAAAGCTGCAACAGCCGCCAACCTGTTCCTGACTGCTTTGATCTGGGGCAGCCTCACATCGCACCCTTGTATCTGACCACCACTTCAGTTCAGACACTGGGAGCAGACTGCCCCGAGCTCGTGCATAAATCTCTGATACTTACAGGATAATAGACTCTGCTGCACGAACTGCAGCCGGTAGAGGATCGGTTCGGCACTGCTGACGAAGAGCAGGAAGCGACCGCAGGGCGACCAACAGGCTGTTTGTACATGGCCCCCGGGACCGCACACCCAACGATCGGTGGTCCACTGTTGGTGGCAGTTCCACACGCGGAACACTCGATCCACGGTGGCTGCAAACAACCAGTCGTTATCCGGCGACCACTTGAGCAGCGAGCCCGGTGGTCCCAGTCGCTTGAGTGGCTGCATCCTTCCGTTGTCCGGCTGCCAGATAATGATTGAACGATCTCCAATGGAGGCGGTGGCCAACTGGGTGCCATCCTTGTTCCACTGCAGCGAGGTTATTGGCAGATTATTGGGACTAAAACGGTAAAGATGTTAGGTATTTATCAACTATAAACTCTCTATACTGACTGTTTAAAAATCTTGATGGGTGCATTTGTGCGTCCCAAGTGCAAAGTGTTGTCCACTTCCCAGAAACAAAGACCCTGCCGACAACCTATCACGATCTCGGCAGCGCAGAGTGGACGCCATGCCATGCAGGTGATCTGCGTTTGGGAAGGACTCTAAAATAAAAGTAAGTCCTAAATTAGCTCACACTGTGATTCAGTTATTTCTATCATAAGCCTATCCACCTTTAAAACAGTAGCAGTGGCCGCGCTGGAACTCTTTGTGTAGATGCGCACCACATCGTCTACACCGGCAACGGCTAAGCTAAAGAAGTGCCGATTCCAGGCAAGGTAGCGCACATCGCTGTTGAGCCAATCCCTGAAAGAATGGGATAGAAATGTTAAGCTATTAATTGATTAACTGGCTGTGCACCACCCACCTGGTCTCCACGAACTGTGCAATCCGCTCTGCACAGAGCTGTTGCGTGTGCGGAAGAATCCTCAGTCTCAATCCGGTGGCCAGGCCCAGAACTCGTGCAATCAGGTCACCCGCCTGGGCGATCAGCGGCGCCTGCTCCCGGCTCTTAGGGCTGCGTGCCTCCTCCAGTGACTCCCAGAAGCCGCCATCAAAGAAGGTGCGAGTTATCCGCTTTAGGACACCCTCATTTACGGACACGAAGCTCTGGCCGCCGTAGAATCTCTGACCAGCCGGATTGGTCAAAAGTTCGCTGTTCAGGTTTATCTGCGGATAGCGTTCCAGCTCCGGGATGTGATTGTGCCGCAGCGCCAGATCCGGCAGCGTTGAGAACGGCGGACACTGTTTCAGGTTGCTCAGGGCCGCCATAATCACGGACTATTCACATTCAATTCAGTTCGATGGAGAAAAAAATGCTAACAAACTACAACGAAAAAACCGCGCGGTGATTAGAGGTGAGAGAAAGCCGATAATATCAGTGATGAATCGGTGCTTCTTTTGGCTATCGATGTCGTATTTTACGCCAAGATTAACAAACAAAACTCAGAAAATGGTGAATTGTAGATAAATTATCAAATTATTACACTGGATTATCCATAAAGAATTATTAATGAATACCTAAAATTTGTATTTTCATACATCGTTTAAAATCTACAAGGTAGTATTATTATTAATTGCTTTTTATTATTAGACCTCCACCTATCGATGGCCGGCAATACATTCGTAGTAGACTATCGATATTCTCGTTATACCATCTACGTCAGATTGTCCACTTCGTCCGAGGCAATTGTAAAAAACCAAAAAACAAAAAAAACTAGCCTGTAACTTAATTCTCGGACTTGGAGTTGGACTTGAACTTTCGGTGAGATTTGTGCAAGATGACGGACAAGCGCAAATACAAGAAAACCGTAAGTTTCACCCACTGCACGACTATGATGTGTTTAATGCCAATCGTGTCAACAGAAAGAGGAAATCAGGCGGGAGATCGCACGGGAGTTTGACCTGCCGGAGCGCAAGTCCAAGATAGCCACCATACTGAAGCAGGAAGATCAGGCGTACTGCATATGCCGCTCCTCCGACTGCTCCAGGTTCATGATGTAAGTTGTCTGGCCCTCCAGAGTGAGTCTTTCGCATGGAGATCCCGCCCAACCACTTGTCCACTTTCGCTTTCCAGAGGCTGCGATGGCTGCGAGGAGTGGTACCACGGCGACTGCATAGGGATCACCGAGAAGGAGGCTAAGCACATCAAACAGTACTACTGCCGTCGCTGCAAGAAGGAGAATCCCGAGCTACAGACCATATTCCGTTTGGTAGCCACCGAACGAGCAGCCGCATCGAACGCCGCCTCTACAAGTCTCAATGCCCTGGGTTTGGGTCCAGCAGGTGCTGCACCTGCTGCTGCACCGTTGGCGCCCGCAACAACCAGCCAGCAGGCACCGCCGACCACAGCGGCAATGAAGCGCAAAAATAGCAGCGCCCGAGAGCCAAAGATGGGCAAACGATGTGGTACCTGCGAGGGATGCCGGCGTCCCAATTGCAATCAGTGCGACGCGTGCCGCGTTCGCGTGGGCCACAAACCGCGCTGCATATTCCGCACCTGCGTCGTACAGGCGGCAACGGCCCTAAAGGAAACGCAGCCGACTCAAGCGGGTCCAGCTAAGAAGCGAGAAAAGGCAGCGCCCAAGGATCGCAATGTCCAGGTGGGCATCCGGGCGGCCAGTCCGGAGGAGATCATCAATCCGGAATTGGAGGGCTTGCGCCAGTGTCACGGTCCCAATTGCTGCTGCCAGGCGAGGCCGCAGAGCAAGTACTGCAGTGATAAGTGTGGCTTCAATCTGGCCACCAACCGCATCTTCCAGGTTAGCACCATTTTCTGGCCAGACTGTAAGCTCGAATTCAACACCAAAATCCTTTACACTCTCAGGTTCTGCCACAAAGACTGCAAGAGTGGAACCTTACGCCCAGCCGCGCCGCCGAGGAAACACACAAGCATCTTGATAGCATTCGCCAGATGCAGTCCCTAGTGCGATTTGCACTCGCCGAGCTGGAAAAGCGCGCCGAAGAGCTCAACATGGTGGTGGAGCGAGCCAAACGTAGCTCCATCGACACAATGGGGTCACAAGACACCGCCGACATGGAGGACGAACAGAGCATGTACTGCATCACCTGTGGCCACGAGATTCACTCGCGCACGGCCATCAAACACATGGAGAAGTGCTTCAACAAATACGAGTCGCAGGCCAGCTTCGGGAGTATATTCCAAACACGAATGGAAGGCAACAATATGTTTTGTGATTTCTATAATCCAGCAAGTAAGACTTACTGTAAAAGATTAAGGGTATTGTGTCCGGAGCATAGCAAGGATCCAAAGGTGAACGACACGGATGTGTGCGGCTCACCCTTGGTGAGCAACGTCTTCAATCCCACGGGCGAGTTTTGTCGTGCGCCAAAGAAGAATTGCTTTAAGCACTACGCCTGGGAGAAGATCCGGCGAGCGGAGATCGATCTCGAGCGTGTGCGTCAATGGCTCAAGATGGACGACCTGATGGAGCAGGAGCGCATGATGCGACAACAGCTCACCTCGCGAGCGAACCTGCTCGGCCTGATGCTGCACTCTACCTACAACCACGAGGTGATGGACGAGCTGGTGCGCAAACAGCAGGAGCATCTGGCGGAGTTCGAGAAGCAGAAGCGACGTCAGGCCCACCAGCAACAGATGCAGGCACAGCAGAAACAGTATCAGGAGAAGCAAAAGCTAATGCTGCAGCAACAGCAGCAGCAACAGCAGCAGCAACAACAGCAGCTGCAGCAGCAGCAACAACAGCAGCTACAGCAGCAGCAACAACAGCAGCTGCAGCAGCAGCAACAACAGCAGCTGCAGCAGCAACAACTGCAGCAGCAACTGCAACAACAGCAGCTGCAACTGCAACAGCAGCTGCAACTGCAACAGCAGCTGCAACTGCAACAGCAGCAGCAGCAACAACAGCAGGTGCAATTTATCAAATTGCCACAGAAAACTCAAATTATATACATGCACCGAAAGCCATAGATTCGTAGTCCCCTTATCATATGAGAACTACCAATAAACTGACATGCAAGAAATATTTTTGTACGACAACCCACCAATCTTTTGACATACCCCCGCCGCAATGTTTCTAGTGTCGCGTTCCTCCGGGCAACCGCATAACACACTCCGCCGGCTGTCGAGTTCCCGGCTAGAAGGAGGTTGCTAAGCGCCGGGATCGGGGGTACGCCCATGTTTGTTATTGAAAACTAAGCATCAAATATGCATTTATTGATAGCAACCTGCCCGTAAAAGAAATGCTACATTGGGCCAGTTCACCCATCGATATCATTCACATAGACTTCTTCAGTATAACCTTTAATATTAATATCCATGGTTTCTATATACGATTTGTTTTCTGTTGAGTGCTAGCATGTACGAGTATTTAGCAGTAAACAAGATATGTAATTAGATTAATACATTTGCTTAGGTGCTTTGCATAATTGTAGGCTTGTTTGAGATATATAATATATAGATATAGATAGGTATACATAGATATAGTACGATATTATTAGTAAACTAAAAAAGTCATGGCTCTTCTACAATAGAAGACAACTAGAAGATTGCGAAACGAGTTTTATATTTTTATAAAACATTGAATTTGAATAAACTCTTCTATCTTGTTACCTTACTGTATGCCCAACATATTTCCAAGATCATATAGGAATAGACCACCGAATCGAACTGTTAATATCCGAAACAGTGGTTCCGGATAAATGATATGCACGGGTCCACCGCAGGACTTTTCTGAAGAGCGGGGGGCAACCATTGGAAACGGCAGGACTTTGAAAACGATGGAAACTATGAAGTAGAGTGGGAATACGGGAAGCAAGACACCAAAGGGATGTAGGGACACCCGGACACAAGTGCAGTCGAAATTTCAAGCGAGTCCCAACGAATCAACCATTCCGTGCAATCAAGTAGTCGTGGCGATTTGTGACTGCCGCCCCAGACGAACTGTCGATGATGCCAGTTGTAGTCCGGAACTTTTCTACATCATACACGACCTTCTGATTCCAAACCAGGAGCACACACTCTTTTTTTTTCTATTCGATTCCGAAACTTTTATTTTGTAAAATCATAACGGAAGCGCGAGCGCCGGAGTGCCGATAGATACCAGGATACCAACAGCCATATGGACTCGTCCTCCTCCGATCCGCATCTACGTTGATCAAAAAAAGGCTTATATATATAGTATACATATATATATGCTTTTAATTCCATTTTCAAAAAGTGCAAATTGAAACGCGCGTGGTCTGCGAGTGAAACATACAAATTGTCGAGTCGCGGGCGCTGATCCTTAACTAAATCGGCAGGATTCCACTATTGCCGAAATAGCCAACAAAATTCAAGGACTACTTAATAAGGTAGCAGTGGGAAGCCCCAAAAGGACGAAGTAGAATAGACATTGCGTTCGGTGGAGCCCAACATCAGAACGGGATCAAATAGATTTATTTTACGTGTTTTGTTTCGTGTTCAAGGTCCTGAACTGCTTATCGGGGAATTTCGGGGACAGCTCACCGCATTGACTACAGGTTGGTGCATCCAAACGATATACCTATATATATATTTATATATATATAATTAATATGAAACATCCTACAGTTCCGATTGCATCTTGTGATTCACGTTGCGTTTGTTACTACATAGTGTTTTTTTTTTATAATTTGTATTGTGCAAATTGCCAGTTTACTTTCAAGAACCATACACAAGCCCCATCCGTCAAGTTGCCGTGCCACTTCGCCTCCTAGTTAGCCACCGTTCTACATATCCTGCGAATCCTGCCTCCTTTTACGGGTAAGTGACGTGCTCCACTTCAAAACTTTTGTGCCAAATTCAATCGCTCCGATTTGGCTGTTGTTTTCGTTCTACACTGGCAGCCAGAAAGTAGATCTACTATAATAATATTTTACTTTATACATTTTTTTTGGAAACTGTATTGTGTTCTCTATGTGATTTAAAATATGCATTTCAGTTATATTCGGTTGCGCCTGCGCACACTTACGCGACATTTGAGTTCGAGAGGTTGCATTTCAAGCGAAGTCCGTTGCCTACTTTCCAGCGTGAAACTGGAATTCCATGGAATGATGGCTACCATTCAAAACGGGATTTTTGCGAATTTCGAATTCGAACTCGATTTTTGTTGAACTGTGCTGGCCTTTGCCATATGAGTGTACTTGTGCCTATTTATTTGTTAAACAAATTCATTTGCCATGCTTTGTTGGTGAATTTCGTTCAGACGGATTGCATGCCACGTATTTCCATTTGATTGTTTTGCGGCGTTTCTTGCAGCAACAATAATAAAAGCAACAATAACTGAAGTAGGCGCAGTAACCGTAATACAGTAGACACTCCTAAGAGTAAATGTTCGAGAAGCTTGTGTGTACAACTTTGTTTAATAATACTAACTATTGGAACATACTCTTTTATTATTGTTCAAATGATCTATGCCTATTTAAGAGATAGGAAGTATATACCTCTAGTAACCGATCTCAGAATAACCCTCTTAAATCGTGTTCAAAATGAGAGTGGATGTTGCGAAGGGCTTTAACCCTGGTTCAGCCTCGTTGTCGGCAGCGAGTGCGCACTGTGCACGTTGCCCTGGGCACTTGAGGGTCCACTGTAGGCTTTGCCAGGCCATCAAATTGGGGCTCTCGTTTTCGCTTTCGCCTTCTCCCCGATCGATCTAACAATAATTCGGTTTCAATCAGGTCCGCCTCGCGATTTATTTATTCGTTTGCTATTTTTCCCCGCTTTTATTTGTGCTCCCGTTATGGCCGTTGTTCCGTTTCCGGTGCATTTGCATGCAGAGAGAGAAAAAGCGGAGATCCTTTCTCACAATGATCGAAAAATCGTTTTGCATACGAGCTGTAATGAGAATGAGCTGTAATGAGAATGTAATTTAGATGTTTCAATTATATGTTCAAATAGTAATTCACCAACACTTTGTGAATTCAACTCATTTATTTTATTTGAACAACCATTTCGATCTTATTTGTATAGTAATCTTTCACTGTGGACATTTGCATTGCTTTTGTTGGCGTTTAATTTTATTTTACATACTTGATGCCGTTTGCATATGGGAGCGAGCACGCGAGGACGAGGGCCCCAGATGCTCCAGTTGGAGCCGCAAAACCACTCGGGCGCCACTGCCACTGCCACATCCGCGCGCAACAGCAACAGCAACAGTGCCACAGTGAATCCCAGCTAACTGATAACTTTCGCACACCCTCTCATCCGTCCACAGTGAAGCAGTCAAGTGGTGCTGGAGCTCTGGAGGAGCTCTGGAGCTGTCACTTCGAGAAGCTGTTGAATCTAGAGTCGCAACCAGCCAGCTGGAAATCCACTGCGATCACATCACAGCTCATCGGCACCTGGAAGCTGGCGGAGAAGTCCCAGCATCCTAATTAGCAGGACAGGGATAAGCAGAGGGCCCAGGAGGAGGAGCAGGCTATGTCCAAACCAAATAATGTTCCCGCTCACGAGCGACGCATCCATGAGCTGGATCAAACTGTGGAACGCATCTTCGATGTGCGAAAGGTAAGTGAAATCATAAAAGTGCCCATCTAGTTTCCGGCATAATCGTATTTCCGAGGTATCCTTGGTCGAGACGATACATAGCTTGTTCGTCCCTTTCAGCGCTTGGGTAAGGGTGCCTATGGCATCGTTTGGAAGGCCATTGATAGGCGACAGAAGAGCACGGTGGCCCTGAAGAAGATCTTCGATGCCTTCCGCGATGACACCGATGCCCAGCGCACCTACCGTGAGGTGATATTCCTGCGCGCCTTTCGCCACCATCCCAACATCATACGACTGGTGGACGTCTTCAAGTAGGTTCCCTGAATATGGCATTCTGTAGTATTCTATAGTTTTCTATGCGTGTTCTCCAGGGCCGCCAACAATTTGGATTTTTATTTGGTGTTTGAGTTCATGGAAAGCGATCTGCACAACGTGATTAAGAAGGGCGATGTCCTCAAGGACATTCACAAGCGATTCGTCATGTACCAGCTGATCAATGCCATCAAGTACATGCACTCGGGCAACGTCATCCACAGGGACCTGAAGCCCAGCAACATCCTGATCGATAGCAAGTGCCGGTAATATCAGAATCATCAGTAATTGTTCCATTTTTCTATCGCTCTATATTGCCCATTTCCAGGCTCAAAGTGGCCGACTTCGGCCTGGCTCGTACCCTCTCCTCGAAACGCAAGGCCGACTTCGATGAATTGGATCAGGATGGCATGTTGACGGATTACGTAGCCACACGGTGGTATCGCGCCCCCGAAATCCTGGTGGCCAGTCGCAGGTGGGTACCTTGCTTAGCTCAGAGGAAAGCTGCTGACTACTTAAGTCGTTTTGGTCGTTTTGGTTCGCCAGCTATACCAAGGGCATCGATATGTGGGGCCTGGGCTGCATTCTGGGCGAGATGATCAGGCAGAAGCCACTATTCCAAGGCACGAGCACTGTCAATCAGGTAGCAGTGTACCTATACCTCTTTAAAAGTTCTGTGTAAGTATATATTTGTGTGTTTATAGATTGAGAAAATAGTGACTGCCTTGCCGGATGTGACACAGCTGGACATCGATTCGATTGGAGCCAGCTTCGGCACCGTCCTGCTGGGCAAGAAGATCCATCGCGACCGCCGCCATTCGCTGGACGAGATGATGCGGAACTGCTGCGACGATGCCATTTCGCTGGTGAAGTCCCTGCTGGTGCTGAATCCGCATCTCCGGCTGACCGCCAAGGCGGCCATTCAGCATCCGTATGTGAGTCGCTTCCGGACCGCGTCGGCAGACATGGAGCTCCGGGTGGACATCCAGCCGCCGCTGAGGGACGATGTACGCTACGGTGTGGACCAGTACCGCAACAATCTGTACGACATGATAGGTCGGGAGTCGAGGGGCAGTGCCCGCACGGCCAGCAATGCCACGCCATCCACGCCGTCCAATCGGGACGAATCGGCGAAAACCGTGCGAGTCACGACCCGAGCCAGGTGAGTTGCTCATGGGGGGATCGGGGGATCTCGGGGGATTTGTTTTGGGGAAGCGGATGTGGGCTGGGCTAGTCGCTTGTTGGGAGGGAGGGCTAGTGGAGGAGCTTCTCTAGCTGCTCGTCCCCTCTTTCAGATTGCGTCGCCCCTAGCAAAGGCGTGCCACCTCCACGGTCACCAGCACATCCAATCTGCGACAGCTGGACACATCCAAGGAGCGGGAGGACTCCGTGGAGTCCAGCACAGTGCAGCGCCCACTGAAGGAGCGACTGCATCGTTCCAGGCAGCGAAAGGCACACCCCATGCGCCTCAATCAGGGCCAAAGCCAATAGAATTCCAAGCTGAATGGCTATCGTCCTCTATAAACTCCCTAAGTCCCAGGATCTCTTGGTTTATCGAACTAAAGGTGATCCGTATTTATATGTACAGTATTCACCATTTCTAACCACCAATTTCATTCTACTACAATAGTTTAAATTGTAAGCACAATAGATTAGCGATAAATATGTCCTAAGACACATAATATTATTGTTATTAGGCTAACAACATATTCCTATCTGCGTGGTATGTGGATGTGAATATTTATTAATTTAAATGTGTCATTAGTGAATTGTAATATGACTCCCTAATGGACTTCTTATGCCGCGGTTCTGAAACTAACAATTTAATTCCGTAAGAGCAACCCCAATGAACCCAGCCCAACCGTACCCATTATGTGATAAACATTCCTGCCTGGCGAATCACCAGTGTCCAACTCATCCAAATCCCTCCCCCAGGACAATTAGTGCCAACCAATCGACCGCAAGCCCGGCGGAGAGGAGGAAGGAGCCGTATTCCTGCGAGCTGAACCAGATGCGCAGGAAAATTAAGCTGGTGGTCTCCGCACCCAAGACGAAGGCAAAGGAGGCCAACCGCACGGAGACCGCTGCTCCACAAGCCTCCCTTGCTCCTGCCCCCGCGGCTGCTCCTGCTGCTGCTTCAGCTGCTCCCCCTACACAGGGAAAAACTGGTGAAAAAACTGTGCACAAATGCCGACACAACCAAGTGCAGATCCAACGGGAATTGGCTGCCGTGGCGGCCGTTGCAACTGTGCCTCGGCGCAAGAAAAGCACCTGGCAATCGCAGGCCCAGGCGCAAGAGAAGTTCCACGCCGAAGCGAAGGCCCAGGTTCAGGCTCTGCTCCAGACCCAGAAGATCAACATCTATGACTCCCCCCCGGGATTGCGCCAAGAATCCTATAGCCAGGCGGAAGCTACAGTGCCCCCTCGAAGGAGTCGCAGATTATGGCAAGAGAAGAAACCCAAAGAGAAATCCAACAAAGTTGAAGTCACCAAGCCCACCGTTTTGACATACCGCAGAAGGGAGATGTATTCCACAGTCGAGGAGAAGATGCAGCGCCGGCAGCTGGAGATACAGCAGAAGAAGGAGGAGGAAAAGGCGCACCGGCAGAAGATGAAACAGGAGCACGAGCTGAGGGAGAAGCAGCGCAGGCGGATGACCGAGAACTATCGGCTTATGGAGGCGGAGCGCGATCAGTTGGAGGAGATGGCCAAGCAGGAGGCGCAGGCCAAGGCGTACAAGGAGATAGCACGGAAGGTGTGGAAGCTCACTGCGAGGAAGGAGGATGACACGTTGCCCAAGGATCAGCAGGATGATTCGATCATCTTTACCACAGGTGTTAGCAAATGCTATCGCGATCGGATCAGACATCTGGAGCAAGAGATGGAGAAGTGCAAGGAGCAGTTGCTGGATTTTGTCGAGGAGCATCGCGATCTGCTTAACTATGGAACATTGCGATACCACTTGGAAAAGCTGACGCCCCTAAAGAGGGAGGATGAGGAGGAGGATGGGGACAACGGTAGACCTCTGCCGGAGGGCAGTGGTGATCCCGGCACCCAAAGATACGAGATCTTCCGCCAGGAGCAAGAGAAGGAGCGACAGCGCCAGGTGCAGGAGTTCTTGGCCCGCGACGAGACCAATGAGTACGATAATCTCGATCTGGACAACGCCTACCGAGCCAAGTACTATCAACTCTTTAGGGAAATAAGGGGTGGATCCTCCTCGCCGGACAGTGGAAGACGCGACTCCGGATCGGAGCAGTCCCCGGAGCGCGACTACACGCGCGACTATGCCAAATACTTTCCCAATTACTCTGACCTGGACGAGGATTGGAAAGAACCGGAGCATCTGTTGCAGTCCCGGCGTCAGCAGAAACGCACAGAGAAGTCGCGCCGGATGAAGAAGCGCCTGGAGGAGCAACATCAAGACCGGGAACGCCTGCTGGCCCATCAGAAGGCCTGCCAGAAGCAGCACGAAGAATTGGGACTCCACCACAAGGTGCACCGCCACCATCACCAGCACCAGCACCACGCGGCCAGCGGACCTCGCTATGATCCCATGCATCTCAGGGAAAACGACATTCAGGAGGCGTACTTCTCCACGGATCTCAACTGACATGTCCTTTAATATTTGTCCCAGTCTTGACGCAATATATACTTTGAAACGCGAATTAGCCAATCTTTGGAAAAAGTGGAGTGGGGTGGATTCTTTTGCTATCTATCTTGTATTTAAACGATTATTGGGATTAAAGACGGATTTTGCTGTTGTATAGATCCATACTTGTGTGCCAGATTGCCTTCAGGTCGAGCCATATCACTCTGATTCAATATTATAAAGAAATATCACCTCACCTGTCAAAGCCAAGAGCATTGTGGATAAGGAAATAGTTGGTTTCATTGGTTTAGCAAGACCTTGATTGATTTATTGTTAAGCTTAGGATAGACGCACATTAAGACTCGCACACACATCAACGACACAAAATATTACTATGTTTTGATGTATATAAGTAGATCTTCTATCGCTTTAGCAAATTGAACACAATAAAGCTCTATATAGGATTTCCTGTATATAGATCAAAGACACGTAACTTTTCGAAAGTTTTGGAATTATTCCTTTACCCTATAATGCGGAATTTACAACACAGATTAGACATGGACATGAACAATGTGAGGATGGGTGGGAGCCAAGCCGAAATCCATCTGCTCCTCACTGGCGTCTGTCATAGATAGACTTTGTAGTTCGTTTAGTTCGATTCTAGAGCTATAGTTAGCGTTACATACATGCCACATTTGCAATAGAAAACTCTGAGAATCTGAATACGAGCTTTCCTTTGGATTCATTCCTAGATCCTAAGTGTATAATTGGAACTTTATAAATACATGCACTTAATTTTACAATGATTAGTCAAGTTGTCCTATCGTATGAGTGTGTATATAAAAGAATTCAGTTTTGGTTTCCGTTCGTTTGTGTTTATCTGCTCCCCACTTCCAGAAATTGGAAGACCCCAACGATTGTTTTGCATTTAGTTATGTGTTCATGTACGTTCGGTACGTTATGGGATGCTATGGTATCAACTCCAAAATTCCGAGCGATTCGCGGGACAACTAAATAACAAGAAAGTGCATAATAACTAAATAAGTACAACGTCCTACTCATATTGACAAAGATCTATAAAAGTTAGCAGATAGAACTATTCTACGAATTGAAACTAATTGGATCGATTATAATTATTTTAGCTAATACTAAAAATAATGGTTATGCTACAGCATTTAGACAAAAGCCGATTATTGAAATCAAAGCCAGATTGGATCATTTTTGGTTAACAAGTTGTAGGATATAATGAGATGTTCTTGAATAAGTGTTATAAAATATATAAATTATGTAAAAAAAACAATCCCAAGCCAATCTGCTTTTTGAACACATTCGAAGCTACATTCGACTGTAAACTTATGGAATAAATGCAGAGTTTAGGGTGATTATTTGGTAGCTATTTGGAAGTTGTGCCATAGCAGATCCCGCAATACATTTCTGGCTTAGGTTTTCCGCTTTTGGTCGAGCTGCTGCTGCGGCAGCTCCTCCTGCAGCTGGAGGATGTGTTCCAGGGGTTGCGGCCGCCCGTCCTTGTCAATCATCGCCGGCTTCACGATCCCGCCCTGACGCAGCTGCTCAATGAGATTGACCAGCTGCATGGCCTCGTATTCCTTCTGCTCCTCGCTTATGTCGTCCAGATGCGACTTACTGCGCGGCTCCACGCATCCGAGAACTGGATTAATGCCCTGCTGCTGCTGCTTATACTCCTCGGTGTCGCTGTCCTCGCTGTCGGAGGAGTAATCGGTGCCCTCCACTCGCCGGCAGTCCAGTATGCCCCGCTTGGCAAAGAGCCCGGCTGCGTTGCCATAGCCCGTATATTTGATCATCCTGCCGACATTTTCTTTGCACAGTACGAACAGCAGGTCGGCGGACAGATCGCGCAGGATCATTGCGGGCAGTGTAAGGAACCGGCACAGATGATTGCGCAGCTCCTGACCAACCTCCGGTCGTTGGCTAACGTCCCGGAGCGGCGGCAGAATTTCCTGGCGCAGATAGTGACGCATCACCCGATCGCTGCGGGCACATTTCACCAACACAGTCAGCACTGGGGAAAGCAACTCATGCGAGCTGGCCTCGGCCTCCTGCTGGGCCAGAGATTGACGTAGGTAGCGGAGAAGCACGTCCAGACTGCGGACATTACGCTTTTCGAAGCACTGGGAGCAGCACTCACGGGGTTTGGCTCTGGCACCCGCTTCTGTATCTTTTTCCTTCTCGTTGTCCTGCTCCTTTTCCTTGTGCGACTCCAACTCGGCATTGGAGCAGCGCAGGGTGAGTTCGGTTAGGCAGCTGCCAGAGATGTTGGTCAGCAGATTGATGGCATGTGTGACAACGGCGCGATCCTTGTCGGTGGCCAAGTCGCCGAATCGCAGTAGCAGCTCCCTCAGTACACCCGTCAAATGCAAGCTCTGGATCTCGTACTCGTTGGGGCTCTTGTCCGGAGCACTGGTCACGTTGAACATCACCTTGAGCAGCTCGCAGATGATGTTCAGCTGCTCCTCGCCAACGGACTCTTCGCCCAGCTTGTCGTCCAGCCACTTGGTCATGTAGGTGAGGCCATTCAGATCGATTTGTAGGCGAGATCGGGCCGCCGGCTCCAAGGCAGTGAGCAGAAAGAGGAGCTTCATGTCGTAATACTCCAACGCACAGGGATGTCGCATCGAGGACGCCACCCTCTTGAGAATCGCGTCCAGGCAGTGTTGTCGCAGGCACTGGCGCCTGCAATCGGAGCTCTGGTACACCAGGTTGCACAGGCACTTGAGTGCCTCGGCAATTACCTCCGATTGGGCCTGGCTGGGCTCCAGCTGGGGCTCCTCGCGTTCCTGCTGCTTGAGCTCGTCCGGCGTGGCTGGCAGCTTCAGGGAGCTGGCCTCAATTCTGGCCAGCTTCAGCAGGGTGTTCACCTCCTGTTCGATGTAGTTCGTCTGCAGGCTGAATTCGTCACGCGTTAGAATCCTCACCGTGTTCAGGCACTGCGTATGCAGATGACTAAGACGCTGGTCGTCTAATATGCCGAAGATGGCCAGCCAGAGTTCGTGCCACAGGTTGTCCGTGCGGAAGCTGTCGAAGACCAGCAGATCCGCATTCTACGGCGGAAAGGAGGGGCTAAAATCTGGCCGAATCTTCGGGAGAAACCCCAGGCAGTGCTCACCTTCGTGTTGAATTCGTCCAGGATGGCGGGAATGTGGTCCGCCTCCTTGGCCTCCAGTCGTTTCAGGTGCTCCGCTTCCATGTCGCCAACGGTGGCCGTTCAAAGCTGTCGCTGAGTTCGCTTTTTAGGTCGTTTAAGTTAATTTAATTAATTTTTATAATTTCCGCCAGTGTGACCGCGCCTTGGCCGTTGAAACATACCACGCGGCGTTGCCAGAAATCTCAACCATCGAAGCCAACTATCGGTACGCCCCTATTTCAATATGCTTTAAAAAAAAACATTCATTCCAATAAGAAAGGAATCCGTTAGATTATTAAAATATATTATTTTAAATTTTTCAAATGTAAGCAAGATAGAAAAAACTTACCCACTTTAAAGAACGTCCTCCGATGAACCGGCAAATCGTATTATTTTATATGTTCGATTTTTTAAATGCAGCAAAATAACCGTTTTATTTTCGATTTTATTACAAAAAATACATATCCAGTGTATACATTTTGCAGTGTATGTTTTGTGTAAAAATATATATGTGTAAATATAAAATAATACGTAATATATGGATTCTTTTTTTTTTTTTCTTCTTTTTGACAAGTTTACTTGTGTTTTTTGCAGCTTGGCTTAAATGTTTATAGTTTGATTTGTTTGTTGTCTTGTCTGTCTAGCATTTACATGTTATAGTAGTCGACAAACTCGACAGATCTGGGACGCCTATTATAGCAGATTGGATCCAATCTCACTGGCTTCCACTTCTTCTTTTTCTTTATTTTTAAATGCAATCGAAGGGAAAGGGAAAAGAAAGAAATAAAAACATAATAAACAATTAGAAATAAATGCTCGCTGTACGCACACACACATCTAGTATTTACTAAGAATAATATCGGTACAAATGACGATGCAAAAGTCGAAATATAATCATTCCATGGGATACGTATTTACTAACTAAAACTATGCAATTGCAGTTGTCTTTTGATTGTTTTCGTTCGTTTTTTTAATAGTTTCGCACACTTCACATGCAAAAATTAGAATTTTTTTAATTTTGGCTTGGCGCAGTCTTGTCTAGGATATATGAATGTACATACTATAAGCGATTTATGCACATGGAATGTGGGCCCGTCACCAGTGCGAGCGAGATGGCATGCAGTGTGAAGCGTACGACACCATGTGGAGTAAGTGGGATGGGGAATTTTTAAAAGCTAGGGTATCGTGTAAAATACGTTGGTTAATTACAGCTAGGTATCGATTTTAGATTGGAATTGGAAGCCTCGCAACATGCACTTCTTAAAATCTATGAGATTTCACTGATTATTCTTTGTTTTTTTTTTTTTGACTTATTTTTAGATCTAAGCCGCAAAGAGCACAGTTATGGAGGAAATACTGGGTTCGGGTGTGTGGAAGTGGGTGAGTACTGGGTGTAGCCATACCACAGGAAATCATGTCAGAACACAGACGAGAGCGAGGCGAGGTGAGCTGCAGTTATAAACTTTTCGGGTTAAGGAACACGAGCAACAACCACGAGCAGCTCACAGCAACAGTAACAACTACTTTAGAATCGGGTGCAGTGTTCTCTCGCTAAGTGCATCGCTTTCAGGCCAATTGGAAGCTACTACAAGAACTAGTAAATTTAAGTAAATATCTTTTGCAAATGTGGAATGTCTGAATTTGTAAGATTAATACAGGAAATATTTATAAATCTACACTGTGTGTGCATTGATTTTCGAGCAAAAGATTTTGACAAATTTACTAGCATTAAATGCAATTTATAAAGTTTTACCCAAATAATGGGTATCAAATACGAATTTCTCTATGTACATATATAGTAAAATCTAATATAGTATAAATTTGGCTGGGTGATAAATGCAAATCCTTTCCAAAAAGCTGGCCCTTCTATTCAAAATAAGCGATGTAATCAACGATCCTACACTGCAACCGAAAGTGGAGTGGGTTTAAACTAAACTGTAGCACTGGGCGGCGGCTGTTGGGCCGCCGGCGGTATGACATTCGGAATCGCCACCACACAGGCGCCGGCCCTTGCGAAAGCCATGGGCGCCAGTTCGTTCCATCCATTCCGCACCGGGTCGTACTCCTCCACGCTCTTCAGCGCATGATTGCCATCGTAGCCGCCGACGACGATCAGGCGATCGCCCAGCAGGGCACATCCGATCGCGTCCCGGCCCAAGGCCAGTGAGCAGATCTGTGGGATGGATTACAACGTTTAGAATTGAGGAGATGACAGCCCGTAACCCAAACCCTGCTCACCAGAGTCCAGGTATCGGTGGCTGGGTCGTAGCGCTCCACCGTCTCCGTGCGACAGACCATTGGATTGCTGGCCGGACAGTCGTGGCCACCCAAGGCGTAGAGGAAACCATTGGCCACCGTCACCTGGTAAGGCAGGCAGTCAAGAGAAAGATCATTAGGGATATGCATAAAGGATACTTACGCCCACACCGCCGCGTCTCCTGTTCATCGGCGCCAGAAGGCTCCATTTGTTGGTGTGCGGATCGTAACACTCGATGGAGCGATGACAGACGGAACCATCGCGTCCGCCCACCGCATAAAGGCGACCGCCCAGGACAGCCACGCCGGCGGTGGAACGCATCGAGGACATGGGCGCCACATAGCTCCAAGTACGGGCAATGGGATCCCATCTGGAAAATGGTTGCTCAGTTGCACAATTATAAATATATATGCACATATAATTCAATTCATTCACCTCTCCACGGTGTTCAGGTAGCTCCAGCCATCGTGACCGCCCACCGCATACAGTGGACCCTCCAGCACCGCCACGCCCAGTCCATGACGGGGCGTGGCCATGGCATTGAGCGGTGCCCAAGCCATCGTATTCAGGTCCAAACTCTCCACGGTGTTCAGGGTCTTTAGCCCATCACGTCCGCCCACTAGGATCAATTTGTCCTCCATAACAGCAGCGCCGAATTGCAGGCGACGACCGGTCATGTGCTTCCACGGTGTCCACTTGTCCAAACGCGGGCAGTAGCTCTCGATGCTGATGGCGCCCTTGTGGGCATCCATGCCGCCGACGGCCAGGAGACGACCCACTGTGGATTTGCGTGGCGTGGTTCGCTCGGTGGCTATCCGGGATCGGCGCTCGGGCATCAGGTGCCACTTGAAGGCCTCCATTACCAGCTGCTGGCACTCGTTGGCATTGCACACGTTCTCCACATGGTCCATAATGAACGCTGGCGGCATGAGGGGCAGTCGCACCAGGGCCAACAGCTCCGGTATGTGCTGCTCACGGGCAGCGGAATCGTGGCGCACCCACGACATCAGACTGTGAAAGACATCCTGCTCCGAGGGCACATTGAGATCATCGCTGCTCAGCAGCTTGCCCAACTGATCGGCGTTCAGCTGGAAGAACTCCTGGTTCTGGCACACTTGCATGAAATACTGGCAGGTGTATGACTGCGCCAGACGCAGCAGCGTGGTGCAGCTCTGTTGCTCCGCAAAGAAGGCGAACCCAAGGCAATTGGATGGATGGAGCTGGCGGGCCAGAAAGTTACAGCAGGCGGTCACCACGGCGTTCAGCTGCAGCAGACAGGCGGTGGCCAGCAGCGTCTCCACGGTGTCCTCGCGCATCTCAATGAACCCGGTGTAGCAGTACTGGACCAGCAGATGCAGTGCATCGCCGTGCACCTCGCCGAGGGTCACCTCCTGCTCCTTGGTCTCGCGCAGCGATCCCGTGAACATGGCCGAAAAGTAGGCGCTCGACGCCGATAGCACCAGGCGGTGGGCGGGCACCCTGAAAGATTAGAGTGAAGCCCTTGAGTTGTGGGTACTTTCGCAAGCGCTAATCAAAAGAAACATTAGCTCGTGGTGTCACTATTTTCGTGACCGCAACTGTGCGCTGGTGGGTTCTTTTCCCTTTGTTTACCACGGCACAGATCGACAGGTTTTCACGATCCAAAACCGGTTAAGTGCAGCGAGCGGGCGCAGAAATCAAATAAAGCTGCAACTGCGCTATCTCTTTCCCTGCACTTTTGCAACAATGCTCACAGCAGCGGTCACAAGAGAAGGGAATTGTGTTTGCAGTTCAAGGATTTCACTGGTATCTTACAGAACGATAAATGTAAGTAATTTCCTGTTTGTTCACTTAAACAAGCTTACTTTTAATGAAGTTTATCCAAATCAACATTATTATAGGTGTAATAAACAAATGGACTGCTTATCGGCACATTTGTCGATAAGCAAAACAAATTGCAAATGGCTCAGACATAAACTATGTGTAATTCAAAACAATGAAAAAAAAACTCTATGAAGTAACTAATATTAAGTAAACATGCTATAAAAACTCGATCGATTACCAAAATATTGCTAGCAACACTACTATTAAAGTAAAACCCAATACTTTTCGATCGTTTTAAGCTTTAAAGTCCGAAGCGTACATTTATAGATGTGAAGCTTATTCTGTACATAAGCAATTACTGTCAAAATAATAAAATTTAGTAAATTAACTTTGTGCGTCAGCATGTTCACTGAGATAAGTAAATTTAAGCCGACCCAAAATGAGCATTTGTGTAAATAGAAGTTCCGTAAGCACTCGAAAGTACAAACCAGATTTGTTAAACATTTTTTCTTGCAATTATTTGTAAAACAGCTGTATTTGCATTTCTTGGGCGCTATTATTATGCCCGCAGCTGCATTTCCTGGTGGTGCGTGGTGCTACTATCTTGCGTGTGAGTGTGCACTGTTGGAATTGCGTTGGGGACGAAACAAGACAACACAACAACACAAAGCAAAGAGAGCAGACAAAGAACCCAAGTGAAGGTCAGCTGGGGTAGGAGGAGGGGCAGGGGGCGGCGTAGGTGGGTAGACGGAGGATGGGATGAAGAGGAAGCGGGAGGGAATCGCTAATGAACTTTCCAATTCGAAATGCCATTCCATTCCATTCCTTTTTCTTCATGAAAAGGGTATGGGAAATGGGAATTGAGAACTAGGAGTTCCACGATCCCCACTGCTTGCTGACCATCGTTTCCAGCGATTGGAGCCACCATCGATTACAGAAGGGTTTAGAACTCATAGCACTCACCTCTTTCCATCGATTCCAGCGATTAGGACCACATCGCAAAGCTGCTGACTATCCACATAGAACTGCATGCGCTTGAGCATACTATCCGCATGGTCGCGGCACCGAAAGAACTCATCCTGGCTGCCCGCCGAGTTCAAGCTGCCCAGGCTGTAGTCCCGCGACAGCGACTCCAATGTGTTGTCCGCCAGCATCGAGATGTGCCCGGATGTGGAAGCCGTCGAGTCCCGGCTGGGACTCTCCTTCTGGTTCACCGCCGACATGGTTCTTCTTCTGCTCTGGCTGTGCGCTCCTTTTCAGCGAGACGTCTGCATCGGATCACTGGCTGGAAGCAACTGGCTGGTGGATCGTGGATTGCGGATCGGTGGGGCCAATGGAGGGGGTGGCTGCAACGGTAATTTACAACAAAGAACCCTGCCTCTTGCCACAGTGCGCGTATGTGTATGCGCGTGTGTGAGTTTGGTGTGATGGTGTGGTGGTGTCGCCTCCGCTCTCTTCCACTCGCGATTTTTAAATCGTTTCAATTGGCCGGGAATTGCGTGCTGGATCTGTAACTGTAAATCAACTGTAACTTATCAAGCTGCCTGAGCGCCCGTGGCTGCGTTTGTGTGTGCGTTTAGTTTATGTGTTTATATACAAATTACACAGCTGTTGTGACAGCCCTTGGTCACACTGAATTGATGTATTTATTTTGTCACAGTGTGGCCAAAATATATTCACACTCAAAAATACATTCAGTATATTTTGTAAAATATTTTAGAGGGGATTCCCATTCAGGGCTATGAAATAATTATCTCCGAAAAATGTTATTTCATAAAAACGTGTGAAATCTAAATAGTAAATCTTCAGCAAAATGTAATTGAGGCACAAATAATTCTCCTATTTAATACTTATTTTAGCAAGATAAGAAAAAATACATAAGCATTACATGCATTTATTTAATTTTAAGGATGATTCCTAATTTTGGTGTACTAAAAATCCTTAGGAAGATGCAAATATTTTCTGTACGCAACCGGAACCAACTCTAAAAAATAAACCCACCAAAGCCAATAATAAAACCATGCCATCGTACATGGTATGACTTCGATTTCTTTATTTTCGATTTAATAATAATAATAATAATAGTTCAGTTGTTTTTGCCCACCGTCAACGATCTGTTGAACAAAGAGCAAGTGTGGATATGGGAGGATAGAGAAAATGGGGGCCGGGATGCAGAGGCATCTAGTTGGGCGACGTATTACGCTTTGGCGTCGACGGCGGCAGATCCATTGTCTTGCACACCCAGCCGGATATATCCACCTCCTCCACTTCCGCCTTGCGTATCCATGGATGACTCTGCCGAAGAACAGATGAAATAGCTTGAATATATATCTGTACAAATTGCGACGTTGCGATTGCTTACCAGCAGGGTCTTGAGATCGGCCCGCTCGTCGGGCTGTTTCTTCAGGCAGATGTCCACAAAGTCTTTGAACTCGGTGGAGAATATCTTGTGCTCCAGCTTGGGCGGCGGTTCGTTCACAATGTAATCCAGCAGCTCGAAGATGGCCATTGCCCTAGGCTCGTCCGTCGGCTGGCCGCTCTCCTCTGCATTGTCCGCGAATATCGACTCCAGGGTGGCGGTATTTGGCGGCGGGATGGGGTACATGCCGATGGCCATCTCCACCAGCGACAGGCCCAACGACCAGATGTCCGACTGCACGGAGTAGTGGGTGCCCTGCAATCGCTCCGGCTGAAACAAAGGGTCGTTAGTTATATAGATCTCTTATAATTGTCTATATTTAACATCTAGGTATAGATGATTGCTTTGTTTCGCTATTGCACTGCTTTTCCTGACGCATTTTCAAATACTGTCGGCGATATCATCGACCCTCAGAAGTTTATTGTACTAAATTGCTGGACTAACCGGTTACTTACCGACATATAGCTACGGGTGCCCACAAAGGAGTTGGCCATCGAGTCGATTAGTTGGCCGGAGACGCCGAAATCACAGATCTTGATCTCACCGCTACTGTTGACAAGGATATTGCTTGGCTTCACGTCACGGTGAATGATGGCGTGCTTGTCGCGCAGGTAGCTCAATCCCTTGAGTACTGCCAGCGTGATCCTGCCGAGAATGGACTCCGGTATTCGACCGGCCCGCTTGAGGATCAGATCAAGCGATCCCCCGTCCATATACTCCATGCATATACTGATCTCGCCGTCGCTGTAGAAGGCGCCATAGAAACCGACAATGTGTGGGAAATTACATTCGTGCAATACTTTCAGTTCGCGCAGGATCTGTTTCTTAATCGCCGGCTTCACCTCCAGATGGATAAGTTTCCTGGCCATGATCAGGTGTGTGTGCGTGTGCCGGACCTTCATCACCACGCCGCCATTGCCCGATCCCAGTTCGCCCAGCTTCTCCAGATCCTCGTCCGACAGCTCGCCGATCTTCTCCTTCTGGCTGAGAAACACCTTGATCCTTTTGCGTTCCGTGTCGTCCATGTCCAGGCCCTCCAGCGTCTCTGTCAGCGCATCGATGCTCGTCTTAGGCTTCCCCAGCAAACTGTGTGTGCTTTAATTTAACCTCTTAATGAATTTTTGCGATCCAAAACGAAAATGTATAATGTGCAGGCAATGGTTGGGATTTGAAAGTAGGGGATGGGATGCGAGGCAGGTCCAAGTTTCCCTAATGATAAGACAACTATGTACATGTGTACGCATGTTATTTGATAAAAAAAATGCTGCCTACATTTTGGTGCTGAGTAAAAATGATTAAATGGGCAGGACTATAGAGGATATTGAGTGGTATGTAGCTTGTAGAATTTATCTTTGAATCTGACTTTGTCATTTTATTAATTAATCTAAATAGTTTACTGTATGACTCAGTGAGTTTTTTCTCACTGTGTACCTGTGCGTCACATAAAAGGAGCACCACCCATTCCAACAAACAAAGAGCGAGTATTTGCTCTTTCTCTGCGACCATCTCTTTCTTTCCAGGTGGATGGAGTTTCCTTGTATCAATTGATGGGTATTAATTACCCACCTGACTCGCAAAACTACAGGATAATCTTACCACCGAGTGAGAAACCAAAAACGGGAAAAGGAATGGGAAAAGGCGAAGGGGGGCGGCGTAATTTGGATGAGTATGGGTGGCCAAAAAACCAGTCATTTATTAAGGATATTATGTATAATATTTACTCTGTGCCCGAGGGGGTTTTAAACGGCGGCGTCGGCGCCACTGTGGCGGCGGCAACAGTTGCCTCCGTATTTACCGGCGGCAGCACCAGATTCAGCTTGTTCTTCGACATCTTATATATATAAAGATATACTATATATCTCACGATTCCGTAATCCGTTACCGATAAGTTAAAGAACACAACAATAACAAAAAAGAAACAATACAAATAGAGAGTGTTCCAGTGGAAACAACAACAAAACGCACGACGAACAGCGGCGTCCAAAGACCGGATGAGGGGTGTGAGGGGCGAGGGGCGTCGGCGAGGGGGCGTGCGAAGGGAGGCCAAGTGCAAAAGTTTCGTTTTGTGTGTCCAGCCGCTGGTATATTTGCACTATTTCCTCGCGTTGCGCTTAACTTAAGCACACCCGAACCGAGCACACGAACAGCAAACGGAAAGTTTTTATTATTTTTGCAATAATCTGCCAAAATCGGCGACTTTTTGGTTTTTTTTCGCAGAAGATGCTGTGTGACCAGATGCTGCAATTACCAAATACCGTTAACATACTCCTACGACAGAAGAGATCAATGAATACATAATACAAGCAAAAGTAATATTTTATTTGTTACGAAGATCGATGGATATAGAAATCGGTTTTTCTAATTTAATTGCAACAAAACATATTTTAAGCCTTTCGGTAGGCTTTTAAGTAATATGGAAATATAAACAGATTTCTCCTACGCATTCGCGGTTGATATTTTCGTGCCACGCGCATACGGTCACACTCCACCACCCCCACTTATTTTGTTAAAGGGGAAAACAATAACATTTCCGGCGTATTCCGTGTGCCATCTGACCAAAATGAGGCTACAGCGGCAGTGCATTGTGGTCAACATGCGATCGGCCATTGTCCTGATCATGATCTTCGTACTGACGGGGATCAGGAACAGCGAAACGGCCAGCGGTGGAAACCAGATGGATTTATCGGACGCAAAAGGCGATCACAAGGACAACAGCAATGCAAGCAATGGCAATGGCAATGCCAATGCCAACGATAACGAGGTGTACGTGCCGCCATTGGTGTCCAGCATGGTGGCCAAAAGCGGAGGAGGAGCCGGTGGACTCCTGGACAACATAACCGCCTACAGTAGCAGCAGCAGCAGCAGTAGCAATGGGAACAACAACATGCTGTGCCCGTACGATAAGGAAACGCCCTGTGATCGCTTGCAGTTTCCGTGCATACGATGCAACTACAACCATGGATGCATCTACGGCCGGGACTTGAATGTCACCTGCGAGGTGATTAACAATGTCCAGTGCCTGGGCGAACGGAGTTTCCAGCGACAAATGAACTGCCGATATTGCTACCAAACGGAAATGTGGCAACAGAGCTGTGGCCAGCGCTCCAGTTGCAACTCGGCGACGGATAAACTATTTCGTACGAACTGCACCGTGCACCATGATGTGCTCTGTCTGGGTAATCGATCCTTTACCCGTAACCTGCGCTGCAACTGGACGCAGGGCTATCGCTGGAGCACAGCCCTGCTGATTAGCCTCACGCTGGGCGGCTTCGGAGCCGATCGATTCTATTTAGGCCACTGGCAAGAAGGAATTGGAAAGCTGTTTAGCTTTGGGGGCCTCGGCGTCTGGACCATCATCGATGTCCTGCTAATCTCGATGCATTATTTGGGGCCAGCGGATGGCTCACTTTACATATAGTTTAGTTTTACAGGGGTTAATAGATCATAAGCTAACTTTATCCATTACCGTGTACATAATTACGAATGCAGACTTAACCATTAGAGATGAAATAGGGATCGTCACGAAAAACCTGTACATAAATAATTAGGAAATGTATTCTATTTACTACGCTAAAATTGTTTTTTGTGCCTTTTATTTAGCACAATGTTACGAAGTCCTTTTATCATTACTTGGTCGTATCAATAAATAAGTGAAATAGAACATATAACCATCTCCCTCTTGTTCCTGTAAGTTCAAATGATGTGAAGATATCTGAAAAGCTATGCGTAATATATAAGAATAAAAGGTTTGGTTTACTAAGCGGATTTATTTTAATTGTTCTAGGCAGTTTCTTTTAAGTAATCAATTTTCTTAATAGGCATTAAATTATTTCTCTATTATTAGAAAATGCCCATTCTATATCTCTGTGTTCCTTCGCTTACATTTAAATATTTATGTAGCTTATTAATCGAGTTTCCTGAAATCCAGACTCACCCCCAACTGAAAGTATACTCAATCCATGGCAGCCGCCTGCACTTCATCATCGCCATCATCAAACTTAATGTGCTTTGCCAGCAGTTTGGCCACCTTTTCTCGACCGCGTTTCTGCTGCACGCGCACCTTTTTCGAGAGTTTCGCCTCGCGGTCCTGCTCGATTTTGCGCCAATAGAGTGTCTCCTGCTGGCCAGACAGCACTTTTAGCTGCCTCTCGGCACAATTCACTTGGCGTACCAGTTCTTCGGCTGCGGCAGGCGTTCCCAAACGTAGTAGGGCCACTTGATCTCCCTCCTTAATGTCCACATATTTAATATCCGGATACTGGCGCATGTCAGCCTTAAACTCCTTGACATTGGTGCAGGGTTCTAGCAGACAGCATTCCACAATCAGTCCGGGCTCGTATTTGAAGAGAGGCGTGTGGTCCTGCGAAGGCTCTTCGGATTTTGTGGATTCTACGCCGCCGGCGCCGTAGAAATTCATGTTCATCTTGTGCACCGCTTTACGACGTTTTGCTGGCACAGGCGCTGCTTCCACTGCAGCCTCACCGCCATCGCTAAGAACCTCGCCTCCGGTTTCCTCCTCTTTGACGGCCTCGGGCAGCTGCGAAGGTTTCGGATGGTTTTGATGGCTGTGCTGCTGGTGATGTTGGTGCTGCTGATTTTGCGGCCGATTTTCACGCCACAGCTTGCTCTTTGCCTCACTGACGAGCCGACGCTGTAGATTCAAGTACTTGTTACGCAAACTGCTCCAACTGGTCTTGGGTAGCACTTTAAGATCCAGGGCACTGGGCTCAATATTTGGTTTGTCCACAATCGCCTTCTTTTTGCGCTTACGACGACGCTTCTTGGCAGCTCCATCGCCATCGGTTGCCTCTGGTTTGCCTTCCTGCTCGGAGGCTTCGGCTGTGGTCTCCGCGTCCGTTTCACTCGCTGTTTCTTCAGCTGTTGAGGTATCACTGGGCTGGCCCTCCTCTAACTTAACACGTTTAACTTCGTGTACCTCCTCGCGATCCTTGTCGGTGGCTTCCCTTTTCAGATTTCGCTTTGGCAAATCAACCTGATCAGTCTCTGCCTGCGGCTGCTCAGCTTTTTGTTGTAACTGCTGCTGTTGGTGAAAGGAGCGCACGCTGGCCAGTTCGCTGGGATCAGTTTCGACAGACAAAACGCCCTGTATCTGGGCAAAAGCCTTTAGAGCCTTCTCCACGGACCCGCTTTTCTCGAATTCGATAAAGGCGAACTCCTTGATCTTTTTTGTGCCCGGATAGTGGGGCAGGGAGACATAGGCCACCGGTCCGTAGCGGCTGAAAACCTCCTTCAGCCAATCGTGAGTGGCATTCGCAGGCAGAGCCTCAACATACAAGGTTTGGTCGTTGACATCGCGCTGATCTGGAAGCTTGGTGCGTCGCTTGACCTTCACCTTGGTCTCGTCCAGCTTCAGAAGGTGGGAGTTGCTCAGTGCCTTGGCTATCTGCTGCACATCCTGGGTGAGCGTCTTGATTTTGTTGAAACTGAGAAAGATTTCCAGAGGTACATCTGTAAATGAATACCATAACTAGGGTTTTGTTGGTTAGTGAAGCATCTCAGTTACTCACATGGATCCTGCTCCACGTAGCGCCTAAGGAAGCGATCCTTGCTCAAGTTGGCGTCACCGAAGTAAAATTCCATTTGGGTGCGAATCGAATTAAACAAATGCCTCTTCCTTTTGCGTCCTCCGTCCTTTTTAGCCGGCGTTGTATCTTCCGGCGACGGCTCCGTGGCATTTTCCTCAGCTGGTTCTGAGGGTGCGGCAGGATCGGGTTTCTCAGCCGGCGTGGCGGGCTCCTGGCCCTCGCCCTTCTCTTTCTCTGTGTTTTTGGCAGCCATTAAAGCCCGGTTAACCTGTAATCCAATTCACTGGAGTTAAATGTTGCAATTGGTTTTCACGTTATCCGCCATCTGGCAACGCTGTCTCGTTGTGAATTTCAGGGATGCCAGGTATTTGCAGCATTCTCAAATAGATAGTTAAACGAATATCAGCTTCTAACTACGGAAACTTAAAATTACAAATTGAAGAAAAACAATCGAAGCAGTACCTCAGTAACTGATAGAAGTTTTTCTCCTGCCCATTTCTTATACTCTGTTTATTATTAATATTTTTACTGTTCCTAATATCGCTTGATAGCCAAGCGCTATCGATATTTTGGCGCTGTGGCAACCCTGCTACGTTGTTTTGGCGGGCGGCAAAAAAAAAAACAGATGCTATGCTAACCTATGTGTGTTGTACAGTGCGCCGCTCAAATCGGCAACAACAAAACGAAAATAGTCGGCGAATTGGCGAGAAAATGTATTTATTCCCTCGCGAATTAAAGCGCTGGTTCGATTAAACTTAACTATTAAGTGTTAAACCCTGCAGCAGTCGATAATCAAGCATTATAAGCGTGACCAATAAACCTAATTTCTCGCAAGCGAAAAAAGAAAAGAAAGGCGAAAAACGAGTGAGCGCGGCTTGTGTATTCAATTTGCTAAGTGGATGGTGACGCTCTGCACAGCCGGAGAGTCCAGCCATGGAGTCGATTGTCCTGCATTCGGATGTGGCTCGCTTGGTCCTGGGTAAGTTTTCCCTGGATGCTTTCCTGACGAGCGATATTTATGCTGTTTCATTTTTAGGCTATCTAGTCAACCAGAATCTAATACGGGCCGCACACACTCTGTGTCGCACATCGCCTCACCTGCGCCACGAGTTTCTGGCCCTTAAGCAGGGCCTGCAGACGCACAACTTCCTTAATGGGGGTCTGGAGGAGATCATCTGCGAGCATGTCAAGATCACAGGCTTGGGTAAGTTTGCATGCTGCCAAGGCTTTCTTCTTGGGCTGAACGAAAATCTTTCTTTTCAGTGTCCGGTGCCGTGCAGAAGCTGCCGCTGGAGACGCGCATGCAGATGCAGCAACTCAAGTTGTCCGAACGGGTTAGCGAACTGATAGCCACCGGCGAAAATAGTAGCTGCGCCAACGATAGCAGCACCCCAGGCGAAACCACCATATCGCAGTCGCACCGCAAGAGAAGGCGATTGTAATTATAGATTTTTCCCTGACACAAACACATCGGAATTCTCATTGCTTTCTTACCCCCGTTCCCCAGACGCACCCATTCCCCCGTGAACAGCATTTCCTCGCCTTCGTTCAGCAAACGACCGCGCCTGCTGCCGCCACACTTCTACTGCAGCATTAACCGCGACAAGATCAGGCAGAGTTTCATAGGCAGCCAGGATGGCCGCGAGGCGGAACTGGAGGAGGAGGATGGCGAGAGCACCACGGCCACCGAGGACTTGGAGGAGGAGGACTTACTTTCGGCGAATGGTCCTGGTCCGCGCAACAATTCTACGCCGCGCCAAGGTCGTTCCGAGTCTAATCCTCTCGTGCTCACGCCGCAAAGCATGCCTGTAAGTTGGAAACCATGCGACTATGTCTACTTGGTGTTAAAAAACAACACTTTTCCGATTTACGTTGTTTCCAGGAACTGGCTAGTGCGATAATTAAGAATCAGGACTTTCAGGAGACGTTGGTAAAGAATATTAACGTAGCGCTGCAGACGGTGACTGTTACCAATCCGTCGGTAAGCTGTGACGCCATGCTGGACGGTCTAGTAAAGAACATACTAGAGGCCACCGAGAAGGATCCCTCGTTCGATCGCATCATACAGGAGGTGGTGATCGGGGATGACCCACCGCCAAATCAGGAAGACTCTGGTGTGTCGCCTGCCTGTGATGCTGCTAGGGCTGTTGTTCCCACTGCCGCTGGAGATGTGCTTCCGTCAGAAGAGTCTGTGGATCCTGTGCCACCGCAAACACCGCTTATAATTCGCACCGCCGTCGCAGCCACCGCAGGAACCAATGCTGATCCCAACTTCTCCATCTCCAAGCTTATCGTACTGAACTCCAACGAGAGTGTCCAAAAAATGGTTGCTGGTTTGGATACGTCCAATGTCAGCTTTACAAGCGAAGGCCTCAATTTAAACTTTGCCGATCCAGCGTCAATGCTCAGCGAGGTGGAGGCGACGGCTGCTGGTCAGGTTTGTGTGGACGCCACCACCGGGCAACTGACGTTTCCCATGTACCTTTCAAACGGCGGATTGCTGTCGCATCTTCCATTCCTGGTGAACAACGAGTGGGTGGCCCAGCAACTTGGGCCGGACGCCTTTGCCAACATTGATGACTCGCACATTGAGATATCGCTGCCAGAACCGATTACTCTGTCTGCCAATCAGCTGCCCCCCAATTCCATTATTATAAACAGTGCCCAGAAACAACCCCCTGCCCCAAGCGGTGTTCCTCCAGCCCAGTTGATAAAAGAAGCGGCCAAAGTGGACAACAAGGCGGCGAAGGGAACGGCTTCAAAAGAGCAACCGGAAGTTCAACTGGAGGAGGAGCTGAGAAAGTTTCCTCCCGCATCCCTGGATTCTTCCAGACAAGTCATGGAGAGAGTGACACCCTCGACGGCGGGAATAATCAATGTAAAGGCCTTTCGTAGCTTATCCACTCCCCGAAAGAGAACCTCGCATGTACGAACATTAACTTTTTCCCCTAAGGTTCCTCATGGTGTTGTTGTGCATCCCAATACGCCACTCTCCACTAGGCGATCTGGTTTGCTGGCCAAAGCCCAAGAGAAGCCAATTATTAACCATGTGGAGATCATCCAGGCAGCCTGCGACCTAAGCTCAAATGAGGGACTTGGAGGAGTGCCACCACTCTTCGCCATGGAGGAGTGCAGCAATCAGACGGTGATCAGGGCCCATCCTGCAGCTGCCGCTCCGTCAGCAGCTCCGGCTCCTCCGTTGGTGGCCACGCCCAAAAGAAAACAGAAGCGACAGGCGGCGGTCAAGGCCTGCAAGCGGATCATCTCCCAGGCGGAATTGGAAACCAAGCCGGAAAAGGATCAGCAGAAAATTATACCCAACAATAACTCTACTAGCAGCGCATCTGCGTCCACTCACGATGACAGCGCTGAGGCCAGCAAAGAGAATCTCCAGAAGCAGCAGAAAATAGAGAGAAAGCCAGAGGTAGGCTCCACCACCAGAGACGCAGTTGTAGATAACGATTTGGCCGCCTGGCAGCGCCAGTTGCATGGCTCTAATTCTGATCTTGAAAATCGGCTGCGCGAAATCAACTCCAAGCGCGAGGAGGTGAAGGCCTCTGGTCGGTCGAGGCGTCCAAGGAAGAAAGACACACCCACTTCAGCTTCGTCAAGAGCACGAAAAGCTTCAATGGTCAAAGCGAAAGCGGAGTCCAAGAACCCGGTGAAGAAACCGCAGCGCAGTGTTGGCGATTCCACCGAGAAGATCAACATCAAGATAATCACTCCTCAGAAACCAAGGCTTCTGAAAAAGAAGAAGGTGTTTGAGGCAAAAGAGGAAATTATAGACGAAACCATTGAAGAAACCATAGAAGAAACCATAAACGAACCCGAAATGGAGGTCGAGGAAAAGGATCAGAAGAAGAAAAGTGAACTAGGAGGAAATCATGCAAAGGATCCGGAGCAAGTAAAGGCGTTAGCGGTAGAACTGTCGCGGCCCAACATGGCCATGCTCCTGGACACTCCGTTTAAAGCATCTCCCATTGGAGCAGGAGCAAGCGGTGCCGCAGAGGATGACACCACATCAAAGGAAGCAGGTGTTGCTGGAGTCGCTGTCATCCCACCCACTCCAGGGATGGCCATTCCACCTCTGGACACGCCATATGGCAAGTTGCCCAGTAGCAGCTTTCTCTTTGGTTCGGATACCAAAAGTATTATGGATACGCCGCAGTTGAGTGCCATAACACCTGGATTTCGTTTGACACCGTTTGGACAGATGCCCGGTACTCCGATTGGCAGCGCTGCCAAGACTGAATACTCTTCAGGCAGTTCCTATTATCGTCCGGATGAAGCGGAACACACCGATGCGAATGCGCAGTGCGCAATACAGCAGTGGGGTGATTTGCAGGAGAAAAAAGAACCTAAGGATCGGACTAAGGAAAAGGAGGAAGAGGTAGAAGCGCAGGAAGAGCTTTCGCATCAGAAGGAAATGGAACATTCAAAGGAAAGCCTTCATCAGCAGGACGAACATCCTGAGGACAATAAGGAAACACCGAGAAGCCCAGAGAAGCAGATTGAAGAACATGTAAAGGAAACTAAAAACGATGGTGGAAAGAAAGAACCGGTTTTAGAAAAGACACCAGATGCTGTAAAGCAACCCGTTGTCCTGTCCTTGGAGCCCACCGTCCTTCGACGTGTTCGATCCTTTGGCAGCGAAGCGGTGGACAGTGTGGAATCCGCTGCCGATGGTTCATTTCCCTCGGATCAGCAGCAGCTTCCGCACTATAAACTTCTGCCCGGGCTGCCCGAGGCAATCATTGAAGGATCCAGTAGTTCTAGCTCCTCGGCAACCAGTTCTTCGTCCTCATCCAGTTCGAGCTCAAGCTCCTCCAGTAGTTCATCATCAAGTTCCTCGTCCTCGCTCAGTTCTCAAAGCGGAAAGGAGGAAAGCACTAAGGAAGAGACAGAGGGCGAGTATGTCGACGAGATGAGCAGCAAGGAAAATAAAGTGCTACTAAGCATAGACAACCTATCAAATATCAGCAGCACGGAAGACGAAGAGTGGCTGAAGGCGGCTGGTTCTGAAGATGCAGCTCTGCCAATGTTGGCTATCGACAGTCAACCAGGTCAGTTAGTTAGCCAGGATGGGGAGGTCCGCTATCCTATCCGGAATTGGCTGACACCAAGCAAAGAGCAGGCCCAGGAGGCGGATACCAGTGGAGAACTGCGAACAAAACCTGCACCTCCTAAACCGGTGGCTGCTCCCTTCCCGCCTCCGCCGCTTCCTATTACTCCGCCAGCAGCTCCCCCGCCGCCTCCGCCAGAGACATCAGATCCGTCATCCGACGCTCCACCAACGGTCTCGGCAATTCGTCAGGAACACCAACGCCAGCAGCTAGACGAGAAGCGTCAACGTGTAGTGGCCAAGTTTAAGGAGCAGTCCCAACCGATCAAAGCTCAAGGCAGAAAGACTGCAAGCAAGAAGCTCACTGCAATACGTGAAAATGCCAAATTGGCCAATCCAAACACTCAAAAATCTCCGAAAAAGCGGGAGCACGTCGAGCCACTGAAAACAAAAGCAGCTAGAAAGCATATGGAACCAAATCAGAAAGTAGAGTCCACAGAGCCTCCAGTTCCGCCAGTTGTTGCCCCCAAAGATGCCCCAGCATATCCGCCAGCCAGCAAACTGGATCCCGCCCTGCTCATGGCCCTCAATCTTTCTGCCAAAAAACAGGAGCCATTAACGAATGCAGTCAAACCCAAGGTAAAACGAGCGGCGGTTGAAATTGCGGCACAGCCCGCACCTGGAAAACGTGGACGCCCGAAGAAGACACAAGGGGAGACAGCCAATATTTGTATGCGTCGATCCTCGCGTCTAGTCGAAAATAAAAGTAAGTAGTTAAGCTCTAATAAAATATGTTAAATTAAAATATTAAATTAAAATATTTTCTTTTGAAAACTAGCTCCTGCTCCGGAAGATCTCTCCAAATCCGCTGACGGAGGTGCAACGAAGATCAACACCAAGGCTAATACCAAGAAACCGGCCAAGAAACGTGTCGAGGCAAGGGTGCCCTCCTCCACAACCGATGCTCCAGCACTGCCCATGGTAGCGGAGGCGGAATCCACACAGAGATCCCCAGAGCAAAAGCAGCAAAGTCGGCAACCAATCAAAGAACCCGAACAGAATCTACCGCCGTCTAAATCCGAATCGGATCCCGATGACAGCGACTTCGAGCAGGACATGTGCCTGAGCAGCAGCCAGGAGCGTTTTACAGTTAACTTCACATATGCGGACAACGGACCCAAGTCCAGCAATCCGATGATACGTCAGCCACCGAGCTATTTCAAAAGTTATCAAATGCGCTTGATGACCGATGACGAACAGCTGCATACACTGCGCATAGCCAGTGCTCAGGTGCTCTATCTGGGACAACCAGTGGCCAGCGCCATTCGCAATATACCCAAGAAGCGGATACGCCGCCTGAACAGCAATAGTGGCGGGACTGGAGCAACAGGGGGAAGTGCAAGTACAAGCGGTAGTGGAACGGGAACAGAAGTTGCAGCTGCTGGAGAACAGCCTTCGGCCACCTCTACGCCGCTGGTGGAGAAGGCTCCGTCCAGGAGTGAGCCGCACGATGAGGACGATCTGGAGGTGGCCGCCATGTAAGTGGTGAACATATATAAGTTAATAAGCGTAATGAAAATATGGATTTCATTTTTGTATACCTATCAATATTAATCGGTTTCAACATAATAATACCGTTCTTTCATCCATACAGCAATTCAGCTCCGATAGCAGCGAACAGCAGCAGCGGAGTTGGAGGCGAGCAGACCCCAGATAACTCCGCGCAGCAGAAGGAGCCGCAGAGCGAGAACCACAGCGTGGAGATCGAGGACATCGAGTCGATACTCTCGCACCTCCACGGCACCTAGTTCCAGCAGCAGCTCCATTAAAATTGATGGCAATCATGGGAGTACGTCTTTCCGCTTTTTCTTGTTAGCCTTAGTAAAGGAGGCGGTTTTGAAGTGAATTTAATTTCTATGTGCACCAAGGATCGTTATTATTAAAGTATTTATTTTTTCGCTGTAAGCTAAGACGAAGCAGCACCACCTGCTCACACAACATTCACAAGAGAATCCCAGAAGAATCACTAATTTATGTTTCATTATTCGCATTCGTACATATATAGAAATATATAGAGCTGTATATTGATAGCCAGTTGATTTAATTGTTAAGAGCCGTTTTTTTTCGTATTACTAAGGCCCTGCCCGAACAAAATATTATGATTTGATTTTGTACTCTATCTGATAAAGTGAATATAAGGAATTAACCAAGCCAATCCTTTGACTTTCCGTGGGAATGGAACTCAAGCTGTCGCATACTGTCATTTCTAGTTGCTGAAATATGCATATTGAACAATGATGGGCACCGCACGCCATCATATAATTGGGCTAATTGGACACCAATTACGGCTGTTGTCCGAGTTGTGACATCGTAAGGACTTAAATCCCGGCGAGAACTCTCTGCAATCGGTTCGTCATGGAGCTGCTACTCCTGGCTCTTCTTCTCGCACTTCACTTGGCCGGCTCGGAAGTTCTCAAGATAAGTGGGTGTTCTTGGAAATTCGCCTCGTTCGGTAGCTAAATTTCTAATTACTCCCAAAAGCCTTTTGGATTGAGCCCGTTCAGCGGCCGGAATTCGATACTGATATAGCGATGGTTCTCAAGCAGTTGGATGCACTGCATCTCGATGTTAAGGTGGCCGATACCACCCTGACTCTGACCCGTGCGGAAGATGGCTTGGACATGCAAAGGTGTAAGTAATGTGGGTAAAATCGTTGGCATTAAGCTTGGGTAAGTAATCACCCATAAGGGTGCACACAACATTATATTATATAATTAAAGTCCTTATAAGTTTCCCCAGATGTACTCAACCATTTGTCCTTCTACAGTTTGCGAAATCATGTCCACTGCCGGCACTAGTGCCGTGATCGACCTCACCTACACCCACTGGGAGGAGGGCTACAACCTTGTCCGCTCCCTGGGCATTGGCTATGTGCGTCTGGAGCGGATCTTGCGACCGTTCCTGAACATGTTCAGTGACTTTATGCGCCAGAAGCGGGCCAACAACGTGGCCATGGTGTTCATGAATGCCCGCGATGCCAGCGAAGCCATGCAGCAGATGCTAGTCGGCTATCCCTTTCGGACACTAATCCTGGACGCCAGTCAGACTTCTCCTGGCCAGAATTTTCTCGAGCGCATCCGATCGCTGCGTCCGGCGCCATCTTATATAGCACTATTTGCACGCGCGGCCGCCATGAACGGTATTTTTGAAAAGGTGAGCAAGAACATTTTTAAATATTAAATATTGCCCATTAAAAATATTTGCATTTTTGCCAAAATCCGTTTTTCGAATTTCGGTCATAAAATAATCCGTTTTTTTGCCATAACTTTTAAAATAATTGTCTAAATACGGAATGGCATACATCGCTGCGCTCGTAATTAAATTCCCAATCGAACTGTGTTTAAAAATGGGAATTCTATTTTTTTGACATTTTTTGCAAATTTTAATGATGTTACCCCTTAAAAAAAATGCAAAAATTGACCCAAAAATGAATTTCCCAAAATCAGTCAAAAAGTGATAGGGATCGTTAGCATTGGTAATTAGCTGCACAAAACAGTTATTCTTTCATGTTTGTGATCATTTTTAGCCAAGTTATGATTAAAATGCCCATTAAAAATATTTGCATTTTTGCCAAAATCCGTTTTTCGGTTTTCGGGCATAAAATAATCCGTTTTTTTGCCATAACTTTTAAAATAATTGTCTAAATACGGAATGGCATACATCGCTGCGCTCGTAATTAAATTCCCAATCGAACTATGTTTAAAAATGGGACTTCTATTTTTTTGACATTTTTTGCAAATTTTAATGATGTTACCCCTTAAAAAAAATGAAAAAAAATTGACCCAAAAATGAATTTCCCAAAATCAGTCAAAAAGTGATAGGGATCGTTAGCATTGGTAATTAGCTGCACAAAACAGTTATTCTTTCATGTTTGTGATCATTTTTAGCCAAGTTATGATTAAAATGCCCATTAAAAATATTTGAATTTTTGCCAAAATCCGTTTTTCGGTTTTCGGGCATAAAATAATCCGTTTTTTTGCCATAACTTTTAAAATAATTGTCTAAATACGGAATGGCATACATCGCTGCGCTCGTAATTAAATTCCCAATCGAACTATGTTTAAAAATGGAACTTCTATTTTTTTGACATTTTTTGCAAATTTTAATGATGTTACCCCTTAAAAAAAATGCAAAAATTGACCCAAAAATGAATTTCCCAAAATCAGTCAAAAAGTGATAGGGATCGTTAGCATTGGTAATTAGCTGCACAAATTAGTTATTCTTTCATGTTTGTGATCATTTTTAGCCAAGTTATGATTAAAATGCCCATTAAAAATATTTGCATTTTTGCCAAAATCCGTTTTTATCGGTTTTCGGGCATAAAATAATCCGTTTTTTTGCCATAACTTTTAAAATAATTGTCTAAATACGGAATGGCATACATCGCTGCGCTCGTAATTAAATTCCCAATCGAACTATGTTTAAAATGGGACTTCTATTTTTTTGACATTTTTTGCAAATTTTAATGATGTTACCCCTTAAAAAAAATGCAAAAATTGACCCAAAAATGAATTTCCCAAAATCAGTCAAAAAGTGATAGGGATCGTTAGCATTGGTAATTAGCTGCACAAAACAGTTATTCTTTCATGTTTGTGATCATTTTTAGCCAAGTTATGATTAAAATGCCCATTAAAAATATTTGCATTTTTGCCAAAATCCGTTTTTCGGTTTTCGGGCATAAAATAATCCGTTTTTTTGCCATAACTTTTAAAATAATTGTCTAAATACGGAATGGCATACATCGCTGCGCTCGTAATTAAATTCCCAATCGAACTATGTTTAAAAATGGGACTTCTATTTTTTTGACATTTTTTGCAAATTTTAATGAAAAAAAATGCAAAAATTGACCCAAAAATGAATTTCCCAAAATCAGTCAAAAAGTGATAGGGATCGTTAGCATTGGTAATTAGCTGCACAAAACAGTTATTCTTTCATGTTTGTGATCATTTTTAGCCAAGTTATGATTAAAATGCCCATTAAAAATATTTGCATTTTTGCCAAAATCCGTTTTTCGAATTTCGGGCATAAAATAATCCGTTTTTTCGCCATAACTTTTAAAATAATTGTCTAAATACGGAATGGCATACATCGCTGCGCTCGTAATTAAATTCCCAATCGAACTGTGTTTAAAAATGGGACTTCTATTTTTTTGACATTTTTTGCAAAATTTAATGATGTTACCCCTTAAAAAAAATGCAAAAATTGACCCAAAAATGAATTTCCCAAAATCAGTCAAAAAGTGATAGGGATCGTTAGCATTGGTAATTAGCTGCACAAAACAGTTATTCTTTCATGTTTGTGATCATTTTTAGCCAAGTTATGATTAAAATGCCCATAAAAAATATTTGCATTTTTGCCAAAATCCGTTTTTCGAATTTCGGTCATAAAATACTGTAAGGAAGAAGAAATGTGAGGAATGTGAAAGTTTTTTTTCTCCAATTGACAGGTTGAAAAGGCTGGACTCTTTCAGCGACCGTTGGAGTGGCACTTTGTGTTTTTGGACACTCGGGATCGGGTGTTTAAGTACAGGCGCCAGGCGGAACTGTGCACCCGGTTCACATTGAGTCCTCGTGCAATCTGCCGATCGATGCCCATGCCGGATCTTTACTGCGGAACTGGATTCACGGTATGTGGGCAGCGCTGTTACATCTAATCACACATCATATTTTGGCTCTTGTACCTTCTTCCTACCGCCAGATGCAACGTGCCATGCTGCTGAATGTGCTGCGCAGCCTGATAAATGCCGCCCAAGTGAATGCAGTGTATCCGATGGCCATCTACCAGGACTGCAATGCCACCGCCACATCATCGGAGGTGGGTGATCCGTTGGAGAAGGACGACTACAACTGGCTAGACATGGTGCACTGGAGCAACTTTCTCGCGTACGCCACGCCTTGGCCACAGATGCAGGAGCAATCCCAAAGCCCAATGCCGGGTCTCACCTTTGCGGTGAACATATCGGCCGGGTACTACAGTTCCGAGCACGAGGCGAAGACGGATCTGGCCGTCTGGTCGTCGGTGGGCGGAATGCGGCTGTTGAACGAGACCATCAGTCCGGCGCGCCGATTCTTCCGGATCGGCACCGCCGAGAGCCCTCCTTGGAGCTATCTGCGTCGGGAGGAGCAAACCGGTGAACTGATGCGGGATCGCAGTGGCTCGCCCATTTGGGAGGGCTACTGCATAGATTTCATCACCAGGCTGTCGGAAAAACTGAATTTCGAGTATGAGATCGTGGCACCGGAAGTGGGACACATGGGCGAGATGAACGAGCGGGGCGAGTGGGATGGGGTGGTGGGTGATCTGGTCCGAGGCGAAACGGACTTCGCCGTTGCCGCACTGAAGATGTACTCGGAGCGGGAGGAGGTGATCGACTTTCTGCCGCCGTACTACGAGCAAACGGGCATATCCATAGCCATCCGGAAGCCGGTGCGCCGCACGTCGCTGTTCAAATTCATGACCGTGCTCCGTGTGGAGGTCTGGCTGAGCATAGTGGCCGCTTTGGTGGGCACGGCCCTAATGATCTGGTTCATGGATAAGTACTCGCCGTACAGCTCGCGAAATAATCGGCAGGCATATCCGTATGCCTGCCGAGAGTTCAGCCTGCGGGAGAGCTTCTGGTTCGCCCTTACTTCGTTCACGCCACAGGGCGGAGGAGAAGCACCCAAGGCCATTTCCGGACGAATGCTGGTGGCCGCCTATTGGCTGTTCGTCGTGCTCATGCTGGCCACATTCACGGCCAATCTGGCCGCCTTCCTAACCGTGGAGCGCATGCAGACGCCGGTCCAGTCGCTGGAGCAACTGGCTCGACAGTCCCGGATAAACTACACCGTGGTGAAGGACTCCGATACGCATCAATACTTCGTGAACATGAAGTTCGCCGAGGACACACTGTACCGCATGTGGAAGGAGCTGGCCCTGAACGCGAGCAAGGATTTCAAGAAGTTCCGCATTTGGGACTATCCGATCAAGGAACAGTATGGCCATATACTGCTGGCCATCAATAGCTCTCAGCCGGTGGCGGATGCCAAGGAGGGATTCGCCAATGTGGATTCACACGAGAATGCCGATTATGCCTTCATCCACGATTCGGCGGAGATCAAGTACGAGATCACTCGGAACTGTAACCTCACCGAGGTGGGAGAGGTGTTCGCCGAGCAGCCATATGCCGTGGCCGTCCAGCAGGGTAGTCATCTGGGCGACGAGCTCAGCTACGCCATCCTGGAGCTGCAGAAGGATCGTTTCTTTGAGGAGCTGAAGGCAAAGTACTGGAATCAATCGAATCTACGTAACTGCCCGCTGTCGGAGGACCAGGAGGGCATCACCCTGGAGAGTTTGGGCGGCGTCTTCATAGCCACACTCTTCGGCCTCATCCTGGCCATGATTACCCTCGGCATGGAGGTGCTCTACTATAAGAAGAAGCAGAACGCTCCTGAGATAACCCAGGTGCGTCCGGTGGATGAGTCGTCGGGGTCCGTAGGCAATTCCTTAACAGCTCCACCCACTGCAACCAGCACCACAAAGCAGGCATGGCACATCCCTGTGCCGGAGGCGGAGGAGAAGCCACCGAAGGTGTCGCCACCGCCCTCCTTCGAAGCTGCCACATTTAGGGGCAAGAAACTCCCGGCCAGGATCACCTTGGGCGATGGCAAGTTTAAGCCGCGCCAAGGACTGTACTCAAGGAGGAACCTCGGTACCTCCGACTCCCAGAGTGGCTACATGGAGTGAGGAGGCCCACATGGTCGACCACACAAGCAAATATTTTTTCTTTCTGCACCTATCTGTAGAATTTTAAAATTTGAACATTAAAACAAGCGAAAAATTTGCGCAAAATTTAAAATTTCTTTCTGTTATGAGACAAACTTGTTTGCACACTTTTCAAATAAACATTATCACAACCGAATAAAGTATTAAATTCATCAGATATTTTAAAGCTCTAAAATGGCTAATGTAATTTGATTTTCGACTGTTAGATATGTGTTTTCAAAATCAAATTACCGTTACCCGTTGTTTTATGAGTAATAAAGCCAGATTTAGCGGGGAATAAGCTCGTGTGGTATTTTCATATCGATATGTCCCGATACGAACAAATAATGCATGCTGATATCGAAGACCGATTGTTTCCGATAGCCTAACTTTTTTGCCCTAGCAGAAAAATAAATTTCTTTGGAGTTTTTATCAAGGTGAGGTGTCAATAAAAAGAACTGTGACGGCGGTCGCGGCAAATCGATTGCCGCATTTTGGATCGCACGTAGCGCGGAACTGTGCGCCGGATCGTTTCGCCCGGAATTGTGGACCGAAAGTGCCACGAGACGTCGCCGAAGAATAGGAGCGGAAAACTCGAAGAAAATACAGAAATATGTGGGCTCCCGACGGGGATGTTAAATCAATAGTGGTGCTGGCGGCACTAGCGACGCTTCTTTGGGCCCCACTGGAGGTCCTTGGGCGGAAGCATCACCTGGAAGTGAGGGTAAGTTTGGGGCACCATTGCTATCCTGGAGCAACTGACTCATAGTTTGCCATGATTTCTGATTTACCCGTAGAACGACCGTCGGCAGTACATCGCACTCAGCACCTTTGGATTCTACACCAATGGCCACTTGGATGTGCAACTCAGCAAGCTGACTTTTGACAATGAAGAGCCTACAGATTTGGTAGGTTATCCCGGTTATGGCATCCACCATTTTCTCCTCTGACCGGCTTTCTCCCTTGCAGATGGGCCTGTCGCTGGACAAGACCACTATTGACCAGCTGAACCCCTACTTGGACTCGCATCAAAACAAATGCATTTTGGAGGAATCACCAAAATCCCAGATCAGCGGACCTATTCTCTTTTTCGTGCTGGACCTCAAGGAGCTGAAGTATGTAATCGCTCAATTTTTCTGCGTAAAACCAACTCATTTGTTATTCCTTTTCCTGCAGAGTTCGTGTTAAGTGCTCTCCCGAATGGCACAACATGCACATCTACAACCAAATCCCGTCCAGAACCAAGCGAAACCCACACATGGCCAAGGTCAGCGATTCGGTTCTGTTTCGGCAGACCCGTGCAGCCCAAGATTTCTCCGCCGAAGGTCCAGATGAGTCCATGGAGGATCCTTTGGAGCAGGAACCGGCGGATTTAAAGTCCTCCTCGCCTGCTGCGGTTGCGGGCAAAATTGAGCTGCCCAAAGAGGAAGGTGCACCCAAGGTAGATGCTCCTGCCCAGAAAGTTGAGGCTGTCAAAGAGGAGACTGTTCCCAAGCTAGACGTGGTTGCCAGTCAGAATGTTTCTACCAAACAGGAACTGCCTCCCCCACCAAATGCCGCCCCTAAAGTGGAGGAAGCCGTCAAGAGTGAACAAAAGCAGGAGGAAGCGGTTAAGAATGAACATAAGCAAGAGGAAGCCCCTGCTAAAAAGGATGAAGCCCCCGCCAAACAGGAGGAAACCCCAGCAAACCAAGTACCCGTAGAAGAACCCAAAGTCGCAGCCCCACCACCGGTCGTCAATGGCCCAGCAGCTGCTCAGTCGCAGGATGATACTCAAGTTGAGAAGAAAAATGGAGACACCGATATGGACTCAGCTCCCGGAAACCCCTTCCCCCACGACGTCGATTCCGAAGAAGATTCGTATGGACCCGACTCCGTAAAGCAATCGCAAGAGAACTTGTGCAAGGATTCGACCATGCCGCTGGTCAGGGAGACCATTGACAATGTCCACTACTACAGCTTTAATTTCTCTATGATTGTGGCCACGCCCAGTGATGAGGGCCTGTACAACCTTTACTTCCACGCCTGTCCCAATTATCACACCTCAAAAATAATGTCCTTCAATGTGAGTCACAGCAACAATTCCACTTCAATCTTATCTAATGTGACTGACCTTTTAGGTGGACATTGAGGAAAATAACAATGGAAACTACTTGTCGGCTGGAGAAATGCCCCTGCCAGCTTTATACTTCATGATGAGCCTGCTCTTCTTTCTCTCTGGCCTCTTCTGGGTTTTCATTTTGAAGAAGAGCAAGTGAGTTAAAGCGGATTGTCTGGGAATGGCGGAAAAAATAATTATATTTTCGTTGTGGCAGGCACACTGTGTACAAAATCCATTACTTGATGGCCGTGTTGGTTTTCCTCAAATCGCTCTCACTGATGTTCCACTCGATCAACTATCACTTCATCGAAAAGCGGGGCGAGCACGTGGAAACTTGGGCCATCCTTTACTACATTGCTCACCTGCTGAAGGGCGCGGTGCTCTTCATCACCATCGTTCTGATTGGCACTGGTTGGACTTTTATTAAGCACATTCTCTCTGACAAGGACAAGAAGATTTTTATGATCGTGATCCCACTGCAGGTAAGTCTTTATTTTTTATAATTGCGAAAACGCACAGTAAATGAAACATTTCTAATTAGTCACAGCAATCAAAATATTTCATTGAAAGTTAGTTTTATTGCGAGGCGCTCATGACTGATTTCGTCACGTTCACGCTGAATTACGACTTGTGTGTCAAAAGAGTAGATAGCGTGATTTCTATAATCTAAAGCTTTAGGGTTTAAGTTGATGATTAGGGCGAAATTCGAAGAACGTCTTGTTTGTTAATTACTACAAGTACTAAAAGTAAACAATAAACCTCATATTCATTTTCTTTTCGCCTGCAGGTTCTGGCCAACGTAGCCCAGATCATTACGGACGAGTCTGATCAAAGCGACGCCGAGTTCCGCACCTGGCACAACATCTTCTTCTTCGTGGATCTGCTATGCTGCGGCGCCATCCTGTTTCCGATCGTGTGGTCCATTCGACATCTGCATGAGGCCTCTGCGACAGATGGCAAGGCGGCGATCAATTTGCGCAAACTGAAGCTGTTCCGTCAGTTTTACATCATGATCGTGTGTTATATATACTTCACGCGGATTATCGTCGACCTGCTGCAGATGACGGTGGTGTTTCAGTACGCCTGGCTAGACGAGATGTTCCGTGAGATGGCGACCTACGTGTTCTTCGTGCTGACTGGCTACAAATTCCGTCCAGTATCCTCGCATCCCTACTTCACCGTGCCGGACGAAGACGAGGACGACGACGAGGTGGAGGTGCTTACCGAATCGGGGCTCACAGAGACGGTGCACCGGGTGAAGCAGCTAAACCGGAACCACGGAAGCGGTTTGGGCGGAATCACCATCATCGAGGGCAACGATGATGAGCGCGAGAACCTGATTGCAAAGCGGGAATCAAGCCATGAGTACGATTAGGCCCCAAACCGGAAGCCACTTAATCTGCATCACCAATATTCCCTGCATTAGTCCGTAGTCTGCAGTCCCCGGAGTCTTGAATAGGACTCATATTCTGAGCTAGTACTTTACCTATACATAATATATGTTTTATGTTCAGCGCATCTTACGAGAAATGAATAAGAAAAACAAAACATATGCGATGGCAATGGAGGGGATAATCTCAGCATGTGAACTTGTATAGGGCCACGTCGGCACAACGTTTGGTGGGCACCAACTGGTCCTCCACCACCTCCTCCAGGGCCCGTCCAGTCGCCAGGGAACCCTTGTAAATAAATAATGAATCCGCTTAACGGAATACTAAACGCTTGTGACACCCAGGCCCTATCCTTGGTTTAAGATAAACATATATATATAAATAAATACACCTATGTAATTACTTATAATTTTATGAATATAACAAAGCTTTAATATGTAAACCCAAGATCTAATCCGATTTGAGCTGTGACTGAAACTTGTAGAGATTGAAAACCACTCAATATGACAGATAAATGCCAGTTGTTGAATCTCTAGACGTTTCAAGGGCAACTTCAAACGCATTTGCTATGTGGTATGTTCCTCACCATTAAGTTGACCACTTTTAAGGATGTCCTACATATAGGTATTGCCGAACTTCGGTATAAACTGAATGGTGTAGATCATGTAGGTGCCCACGGAACAGGCCATCTGGAAGGACAGTGGTTAAATGGGGAACCATTACTCGAAGAGAGTCCACGCACCCGAGTTAAAAGACTGAAATCAAGGATGGTTAGGCCGAGGCAATCGATTCGTATCGGCTGATGCAGGAGCTGCAGCGAAAAGTTCTGAATCTGCCAAGGGAAATTAGATAGGGATAAGTGAGATACGACAGCAAGATACCATGGCAGCCCACCTGCAGGGAGAGATCTGGACAGCTGCAGCAGCCGGAATCAGTGACTATGTTATGCAGCTGGTGGGCGATCCTCGGCACCACGACCATGCAGCTCTGCGAGGCGTATATGAAGGCGGGAATCTCGAACAGAGCGGGCAAGATTAAGTAGTAATCTGTAAGATGAGGTTCTATATATACATGGTATATTTATATAACAGATCACCAAGTAACCATTGTTGATCACATTGTTGTAGATGGTGTAGTACATGAAGTAGCAGTCCACGGCGATGCGGATGTTGATGGTCAGCAGGACGGCGAGGATGGAGAAGTTGAAGGCACCCTGGAAACATTTCAGCATGTCATACACGTGGCTGTAGATGCGCTGCTTTTGCAGCAGTCGTCGTCGCAGGAAACTCTCGAATCCGGGAAAACTCCTGCCCGTCCCACTGGCGAATCGCGAGTACTCCGCCAGGAGACCAATTTCGCGTTCCAAGGCGGTCAGCTGCTCCCTGAGCAGCTCCAAGTGCAGCACGAACTGCAGATTTCGCAGGTACGTCAGCCACACGAGCGGCTCATAGGTGCTCCAAAAGAGCAACATGTGGTGGGTCAACGCTTGAACCTGCCACAATCCCACGTGGATCGCCACTTCGGCGCACATCATGGCGTACAGGAATATCAGATAGCGACGAAACTGCTGGAACTCACTGCGCAGGCTCAACTGCGTGCCCGCTTTTTGGCCGCCCAACTTGAAGTGAAGCCACCAGAAGTTGGCCAAATGCCGCTGACTGCTCAGCGTCTCCAGATATATGGCCAGCACGGCCAGCTCGGCGAATACGTATTTTAGGGCGTCATTGGCACAGCCGAACATGTCGCCGCGATAGAGGAACTCATCGCCGCTGAAGAGGCACGTCAGTACCAGGGCACTCAGCGAGATGAGTAGGAATAGGCTCCACGCCATCAGGCTCCTCCTAGTCCTGACCGGATTCCCATCACCCGGCAACGGCAGCCCATGGAAGCCGAGCACCTGGTAGAGCCGCAAGTGGAACTGCAGCACCCGACCCAGACGGCCGCTCATTGTTGACTACGCGAAGGCGAAACCCTTTAGATGGACAGGGACAGGCCTTATCCCAGCGGCCGATCATCTGCCTTCAAATGGGCCACCAAACAACTGACAAATCCATTAGCCTAAGTGAATTTGTGAAAAACACTGAGAACAGTACTCCATGTAGCTTCCTTGATTTCCGTATTTAAATGAACACAAACCACCAGAAAGTAAAGATTGTCTGTGTCTACATTATAAGTTTTATAATTTTATAGGTAGAATCAAGGCTTAGGATAATTGCATTTAGTAGTGTACTTAAATTCCAATGCTAAATGAACCGGTATCTAAAGTTGCAACCAATAACTAAAATAAGTGCATTAAAATGTTCTTGGACCATTAGAATATTAAATTTATTAGTTAAATAAACTAATTTGCCAAGTCAAGATCATAATTTGTATATTAAGTGGACAGTCTCTTTTTTTATTACTCAAACTATTTGCGATTTTATCACTAGATAATTTCCAAGTGGGTTTTGTGCGTTTCGAACTGCTAGAATTGTGTTGAAAGAAACATTGATATTTCAAAGGAGTTTGCCTTTTGCCAATTACCTATAAAAGTGTAAAAACATTTCGCTGAGTGCTTACAAACATTTCTTTATTTATCGCTTAAATCTTAAAACTGATACTATCAACTTACGAAGCTACGAAAAAAAATGCAATAAATAGATCTTAGATTAGGCGGGGTGCTGGTACACCTACAGATAGGGCCCACTGTACTGGTAACCACTGGATCCGTAGCCCTGCACATGACCCACATTGTAGCTATCGACGCCACTGTATGTTTCCGACGCGGCACTGTTGAATCCCTTGGACTCGGGCCAATCCACCAGGGACTGCGATGGCCGGCGACGCCTTGTGGTCGTGACCGGTGGTCCATAGGTGTCCGCCGGTTCCTCCTCGCCGTACGGGTCACTGGATGGCACCTGGACGGATGGCCGGAAGTCAGTGCTACTCCCGGCCGAGGGTCGCGAGTAATCGTATCCAAAGGAGGATTCCTGTGGAGCTTCGAGGGTGTAGGCTGGTGGCCTAGATTGCTTGGAGTTCCGCTGGGCTTGACCGTGGCTGGACGGGATGTAGGCGTGACTAGGTGGCGAGTACTTATAGCCCGTATCCGGCTCCTGGTCGACGTGCTCCTCCACGGGTGCGGGTTCCGCATAGGCGCCAGTCTGATGATGATGATGATGATGCTTTCCCCCGCTCGGATAGTGATATCCAAAATCCTCGTCCACCTCCTCCTCCTCCAACGGATGGTGGTGAGTATGATGATGGTGCTGCTGCTTGGGTCGCGACTCAATCACTCGATACGTCTCCACACTGGGCTCATGGTGATCCTCGTAGTCGTAACCATGTGGCCTGTGCTGCTCCTCAATGATCGTATAGGTGTTGACCTTCTTCTTGGGCGGCGGTGGTGGAGGTGGAGCTGCCTTCCTGGCGTACGTCTCTGTGAGATGGTCGGCCAGCTCCTTGGCGTGATTCAGATAGTCCGCATGCTCGCTCATGTGCAGCGGTTTGTCCAGATCCGAGAGGATTACGCTCTCAAGCAGGGGACTGGGCTTAGGACGGGCTCGTCCCCGGCTCCTATGTAACTGATGCGGATGGGGATGGTGGTGGTAATGGTGAATCACCTTGTGCGGCGGCTCCTCCGGCGCCGACTCCTCCTTGGGCACGTGCACCTTGATGTGGACATACTCGTTGCCAAATCCCGCGACCAGGGGTATTAGCGCCACTGAGATCAGAGGTACCAGCAGATGGGAACGGCAGCTAATCCATGCCATGTCGTCGCGTCGAGTGGTCATCACCTTATGGCCGCCGCCTTGCCAAAATTGGTTTAAACCGAAGTCTTTCTTTTGTCAAAATTTATATACAACAGCCAATGCTGGCGACGACAAGCATCTTGACCTACGGAGCCCTCGGGTGAAATGGATGCCACCTTGCCCTGCGTCGACCTTCAAATACCCTATGTGCGTATCTTGCGTAAATACATAATGGGTTTTTTCTTCTATTCTTACCTTCTTGAAATTATTATAAAATCTTAATAGTTAAAGATGTTATCCAGTAAATATTATCTTCATTCTTCGATTGGTTTGTTGTTCCTAAAAGAACTTGAGTAAAAGCGACCTGCTTAGTTCTAGATAAAGTTAAGTGATAAAGGGAAACAAAAAGAACGCATTGAAGTGATATTATTTACATAACAACTTGATTACAAAGTTTCCATTCTGTTACGCAGTTTGGAATGTAACCCTTTGAATCATGCGTTTCTTTCAGATGAGAATAAATTATTAAATAACTTGGCGCATTTTTTATCAGTTTCTGACGTCTCTGGACAATAGTGCCATATTAAACAAGGATAGCATGGTACATGATAAATATGATCATTAATCTGTTAATCTATGAGTAATATTTAGTTTTTCTAGCTTTTTCGATGGAGCGCTACCAACGGGGTCATAACTCCGACATGCCCCAAATCGCAGGTGAGTGTAGGGTGTTTGGGGCAACTGTAAAATGTGATTTTCTTGCAATCACCGTTCGACGGCATCTCACTATCCCACTCTCTCGCTCTGGCCCGCTCGCCCTTTCTCCTTCACACCGAAACTAGCGGTTGTTTTATTTGTTTTAACTTTTGTTTTCATTTTTATTGAAATGCGATGCATACATTTTTCTAGCCGCCAGCCAAACAACAACGATCGAAAGTTAATATACAAATTGAATAATGAAAGCGACCTGATCTGTTCGAGCCGAGATATCGAAATTATCGGGGAAATTACCGTGGACATTCATACCTAATCGATATTCTCACTTATATAATATCGGCGCATATCGCCAATACTAATTTTTAGTTTCGCGCTACGAAATTAATAAAAACATTTAATTGTGATGCTAATGGGGGGAAAAAAATAAACTGAGAAAGTTGCTCTGCGACATCATTATCACGATCATCATTTTCAGTATCATTATCATCGCTATCATTCAGTATCATTATCACTTGAAAATCTCTCTCATGTAGCAAACAAAATAAAACGAAAAACAATACAATTAATATGCAAGTGGCATCTGGATTGAATATATTTTGAGAACTTAAATGTAAATTATTCGCATTTAATTTGCCTGCTTCCAAGTCTGAAAATTGAGAACTGTAGCCCAAAACCAATCAATAATTCGCTAATGAATAAATTAAGTTCTCGGTTCACACGCTTTTCATTTGGCGTGAAAATTAAGCAGAAAATCGGGGAATGCAAAATCCAACCCAGTTAAAAAGCAATAAATGGAAAGAAAAGAAAACGGCGAAACAATCGAAAACTTGTTTATGTGGTCGGCAAACAAAAGCGAAAATATTCATGGTCAGTTGCTGGCTGAAAAGGGGGGAACATCGGGTATGCCGGGTATTTCCAGACCTCATATTACGTATACGTATACGCAAAGAGGGTAACTAAAGAGGCAAAAACCGTTCCATTAAGCCGCAAAGCCTATTAGCCGACGACTAATTGACTTACCAGCCGAAAGCGTTCTAATATCTAGATTTTTGGATAAAACAGGATGTGGTCTATGAAATCTGAACGTTCTAAGCGGCCCTTAACCCTATCTGGCTTTGCCCTCAATAACAACAGGTGCTCCTTTATGTTATACCATAACCTGAAGGTGAAGAAAAGGTTATTTGAAAACTATATTTGAGCCTTATATCAGAGGCTGAACTTTGAAACGATAATAACCGAGTTGGGTCATTAAACTTGATTCAAAAATAATATACATGTATATATTCCCGAACTCTAGACTTGCTAAAAAGCCGAGTATGAAGTCATAGTTATAGCTACGAAATTGCATCAGCCTCTCTAACGAACTTAACCCGAGTTCGAGGCGTACGCACTACGTGTATCTCGGCCAGTAGTGGGTTAACTAACCGTCGGTAATCGATAACGCCGCTGCAGCGCTCTCTGCCGACGCCCGCAGCCGCAGCGGCAGCGCGGCGACTGCGACGCCTGCCTTCGTCGGCGTCAAAACAAAACAAATCAGTTTGAATTCTGCCTTCAAGCGCTCTAGAACAAATCAGCTGGCGTTCTTATAAAAAGCATTATTATTTTTCGTTACATTTTGTTATCATTAACAGACGCGTCCAATTAGTGATTACCTTTTTATTGGGCCGAGTGCAAAAAGCTCTTCACTGCTAAAAAACCGAGCAGTTCTCACAGTACCTCGCACTGAACCCTTTTCAAATCGCCAATCTCCAAGATGTCCTCCGGAAAGATCCTGCCACGTCGCCAGGCGGTTCCCGTCCTCTACACCAGGGGCACCCACTACGAAGTTGGCTTCGACATGGTAAGTCCTCCGACCTTTGTATGCATACTTCCCCAACCAAAACTCGCCCGACCTTTAAGAACTCAGCTGGTGTCACGCAATCTAAATTGTTAATGGGCCTCCGTTTATTATTAGAAGTGTGCTTGTTAAAAATAAAAGATATTACCATATTAGCAGCTCCATCTTACAAGGTGTACGTAAAAACATTCCTTAAAATATGAAATTGGGCTTCAAGGAATGCTTTGTAGTGAGCCCTATTCTTGGGCTTCTATAGAAGATGCAAATTCAGACACAAGCAAAATAACCGAAAAATACCTAGTAATAATAATTGGAAGGGTAACTAGTTCGGTTAACAAACGAAAGCCCACTGAGAACAGCCTTATCTGAACCCAATTGCAATAGATTAAGATGTAGGTCTGGTGAGCAAAGTGTGCCAAAATCTATTATATCTGTATATCTACTGGGCTCTGCCTTATAGCCCACTTTTTTATCTGAATTGCGGTCGCAATAAACTAAAGTCAGTTGGGCTTTATCTGAATAGGCAGGCCACCCGGAGACCTCGATTCGTTTGACAATTCCCGGACCCAGACGCTGTTTACAAATGCAGATTCGTGATTCTCGTGGCTTTGTCTAACTGTCTTTTTTTCCTGCCAATCGGGCCAAGAATATTGGCTACACTTGCAAAACAATAAACCAATTATGTGTCGATGTCTTCATGTATTTTGAACATATACAAACTAACTGAATGGTGTTCTCAGATTTGGCTAAGCCCACAAAGTTCCAAAATATACAACAAAATATTATATATAAATAATAATAATAAATAGCATTGAAATGGGTGAAATTTTGTTTTTAAATGTAAATGCATATACATAATGTGAGTACATTTAAAAAGTATGAGTACAGTTGAGGGAACCTTTCTATGAATAGGGCTCTTTTATATTCATTCGCCTGGTCCAAGGAAATGACATTATTTTTTGATGGACGTGCGTCCGCATCCGCGTCCAAGTGGGGACCCACCCAAAAGGTTACCCCAAGTCGAGCTCCAAACACCTTGTATATTTGTGTAATTGTTTATATTTTTTGTGCTTTAGTAGGTGTAGGTGGCTTTGTTTACACAGCGATCGGTCGTGATCGATTACGTTTCCGTTTCTGTTTCGGTTGGAAGACAACAGTTCCATTAGGCAAATACCCCAGCAATTTGGCAAATCGATTCGAGATCGTGTCCAAATGGGAAAGCATTTAATCGCTAAAAAATACTTATTAAAAAAGGCGAATAACTATTGTCAATTGCAGGGCCGCACATTTGGGTCCATGATCAAGAACTTTCTGATCTTATCGAAGCCCCTCAACGAGACCTACTTGCCGCTCTACCAGTCCCCGAAAGGCAGTGAGTATCGCCTATGACGACTCCGGAGCCGGAGTGCCATCCGTGGTTCGTGATGATCATCGAGATGTGTGCATTCAATTTCAGGGCAGATCTACAACGAGACCCTGGGATCGGTGAAGGACAGCTTCCCGCAGTATGTTCGCGAACTGGAGGGCGTGGCCGATGGTGCGGAGGTGGAATTCCATAAGGTGAGTCAGCTAATTAGCGGCAACCGTACTAATGCTAATCAGCATTTTAGTAACAAGCTTTCGAGCATTTTAGCGAATAGAATGTAATGCAATGCAATGCAATACAATTAAATTGCCATTAAAACGAATACACATAATTGCCAGATAGTCGTACTCGTGGCTTAAATATTGTAATTGAACAATAATAATAATATAATAAGCGCACAGCAAGGTCCGATGTCGTGGGAGTGGGTTCGGGTGTTCTATAGGGTATGTTCCTAACGGTACGGCGCGTCTATTCCAGGGGCTTTTTGGCCAAGTAGCAGCCAAATGCGAGAACCATTAGTTGCGTGTTGCGTGTGCTGGCAGTTGCAGTTGCACTTGCAGTTGCAGTTGCGATTGTAGCCACCCAATGACAGCATTAAATGCAATTTGCGAGTGCACTGCCCCCCGATTACAGTGCTAATTGGCTACGCTGCACGCTAATCCATATTCATGGCTTCGGTCGGGTGTTATCTAATCAGTCGCGTTTGTTCGCCTTTGATTCCGCTTCTAATTAATTCGCTGGCACAATTGCACGAGTGGGAAATAGTGCGAATTCGGTAACCGTTAGCAGGTTGCTTCCACCGAGGCCTTACTGTGCGAAAAACAACTCGATACGGTGACCGTGCAGAGCGCAGACATTGAACTAGTTCCGTTTGTGGGGTCTTGAGAATGATGTGATATGTGATAGACAGCCGGTCTTTTTGCCAGGTGACCAGCTTGGCCAACTGAAGTGGTTGGTAATAGATCATAATCTACAGCTCTTCTTATACTTTCCATAAACATTAAAAGCCCGAGTGATCTTCAGATTCACTTCAACTCGCCTTTCTATTTTCTCAATACTGAGATTGTTATTTATTAGCTTAACTTTATCAGCTTTTACTTGACTAGGCTATTTCTATAACTTTTGTAGAATAACTTTTTTATAGAAAAACTTCTCTCAAAAAAAGTGCATTCATAGGCTTTAATGGCCATGTTCAGCTCTTGTGTAAGCCAATTTGTCATTGGTCAAGGCGCACATACAACCAAAAAGCCGTCAAGAGAAGCCGGCGAAAGACGGTGGAGAACCCTTGAACGGCTTCAGTGAATTGGGACTCGATTCGTTAAATCTAAATTCAGCGTGGGATTGGGATGGGAAATGGGAAATGGTCAGTGAAAGTCATCCATTAGACGGGCTCATTTGCATGGCTAAGTAGCTCGATGAAGATCGTATCGTATGGGATCGTATGGGATCGTATCGGATCGTTTCGGAAGACATGGGTAGAGCTGCTATGGACCGCCGCCTCGATAATGTGTTATAATTTCTGCGCTCGCGACTCCGATGCCAATTAATTGCACGCAAAAATCGCACCGACCTTGGCCAAGTCTACATGGAATATGTGTCCATATGGCTATGGTCATGGTGCGTCGCCCTCGTCTTGCTTAGACTGATCATTATGGCGCCCAGCTCAGGTGGCGGTGATGGCGGTGGTGGTTGTGGCGGTGGCATTTTATAATTCAAATTAGTCGCATTATGAGTGCATTAAAACTGACGATTTTACGAGGCATATCATTATTGTCTTTGGCGATCGCACTAGTTTACCCTTATTAGCAACGGGGTTCAAAACGATCGAGTGATAGATAATGGGTATAATTATTTTTAAGTGATCTCTGGCTTAAATTAACTAATGAGCCGTTATATCACATTGTGTTGCTGATATACGGTGTTGGAAAAAATAATAGAAACACGTTGGTTGAATCATTGATTTTACATATTTGTATATGGTGTATTTTAATATCTCAAATCTGCGATACTTTTATAAGTGAGCTCTTAATTTCTCTTCAAATGGCATGCTAAACTGGTTATGAACTGAATTTGGTGGCAAAAGTGCAGCTGCCTATGTTGTTGCGCTAATTTGATATATATAGCACTCAGCACTAATCCCATTTTTCTTCAATTTCAGCTATTTTTACTGCACCTGGACGAGATTCTGCCCCAGGCATTGAAGCACCAGCCACGTAGCAAAAACCAACCCACCGGCTGCTCCACCATCATTGTCAACCAGAGGAATTGCGTGAGTGGATGCGATTTGATCAATCTGAATTGACTATTAAATGTACAACTCAATAGCGACTGTTGGGCCACACGGAGGATGCGCTCACGGAGACCCTGAACCACTACTACTTCGTGGTGGCCCACATCATCAGCGATAAGCCGCAGGGCAAGTACAACGTCAAGGAGGAGCACTTCATGTCCCTCTGCTACGCCGGACACCTGCCCGGATACACCATGAGCCAGAATCACCACGGACTGGTCTTCAGCATTAACACCATCAGTGCGGAGCTCTTGCGCAGCGGCAGAACCCGTACGTGCCCAAAGAATCCCTTAAAAAGGGACGGTTTTCATTGAATGCATTTATCCACCAGCGCGACACTTCATCACCCGAGCTCTGTTGGCCACCAGCAACGTGGACGATGCGTTCCGGGTGCTCAAGGATGCGGGAGTGGGTGCAGCGGATGCCTGCTCCGTCAACTTTACCTTCCTGGCGTACGTTTATCTGTGCACCATCATTTTGTTTTACTAATCCGAGCTGCTTGCCAATGCCCAACAGGGATCCCCGCCAGATGTGCTACAATGTGGAGATGGCTCCGTCGCCGGAGCGCAAGAATGAGTCCTATTTGAACATCAAGGAGGTGCCGCTGGGCGAGCACAACTACCATGTTAACCAGTGAGTGCATGAAAAGTGTTGCATGAAAGTATTTCATATGCAGTATACACGTGTATGGATGTATATTGCAGATTCGATCGCATCCGTCAGGAGCAGGCCAACGATCTGATGATCAGCTCGAGCATCTCCAGGATGAAAACCTTCGGAGCCTACAATCCGCCGATGAGCGAGCAGGATGTGCGCCACATGCTGGGCGATGTGTCCGGCGGAGTCTACTGCGTCTGGCGGGAGAACAACAGCTGCGACGAGGTGGTCAAGACCATCGCCGTGGGCATCTTCGATCTTAGTGCCAGGACCATCTCCCTGTACTCCGACAATCCCAGCGAGACGGAGCCACACTGCCGCCTGCCGCTCCTCTACAAGTAGATCCGTTGGGGCAGCCATGGAAGTCTCGATCATCCATCGCGTCTTTGCTTAAATATTCCCAATGACTAACATGAAATCCATCTATGATCTATCAGATACAGGTATTGCCCTATAAGTAGGGCCTTTTTCTTACCGCGCCGCGATTTCAATCTGCTCTACTCTTGATTTCACCATGTATGCGCATATATTTTAACGAATTATAACCAAGCTATATCAATTTATCAGTATACTAACATTTTTAAACATTTGTAAACCAAAAATAGCTTAAATATTTTTTTTACCTTACAAACTACCCAAAAGAAATTCATTTTCCGTTCTTTAGCTCATTCTAAATTTACTATGCTACACTTGGCAAAAAAAGAATTGAAAATTGAATTTACACATACTCATTACTTTGGGTCATCGAAGGTCTCTTTTTATTGATGAAAATTATGTAGTAAGTTATACGGAATCTGAGATAAATATGTACATTAATATGTTTTTAATAAATGAACATTTTTTTTATAAAAATATTAGTTAGTAAATACTAGTTTTTACTTAATGGTGCCATCTACAAATCGAATGAAACTAGCATAACACCCCTTACCTTCCACAAATTGTAATCTATCGAACTGAATTGGAGTGCGGATCGTGAACTGTTCATCACCATGATAAGATTAATGAGCTGCCTGCGCCTATTTAAATATCAGTATCAGTTGGCCCCCCGGTTATCAGCGCTGCTGACCAGAAGAAATACCTTGATTTATAGAGTGTAAGACTTGGCACCGATGAACACACAAAAACAGTTTCAGAATTCAATCATTATTTAGTCATTTATTTAGGCATCGTGGCTCCTGACCACTTCTGGTTCGTTGGGGCACCTGAAGGTCACCTGGATGCCATTGGGCAGCCACGACTGCGACCAGATGTCCACGTTGCACACCTTGGTAGCGCCTTCGTTGTCGATCAGCTCCACGGTGTAATCATTCCTGTAGCCAGAGACCACCTGCCTCGATGCCGAGAGGATCTTTGAGATGCTACAAATACATGATATATAAATATATAAATGAGATTGGGGGCTCGTAATGAGGACTACCGATAGTGGGGTCCGTCGCCGGCGGCCAACTTGGTCAAGGATGCCTGAAGTGTTTCCTGGGCACTGACCAGGTCCGCGCCCTCGAGAGTCCTTGGTGCTCCAAATGCAGTGTGAGTGGCACTGATCAGGACGCAGGCGCTGCACAGGATTAGGATCTTGGCGAGAAACATTTTCGGATGACTTTGCTTGCGACGAACTAAACAAAACTGACGGGTCCGCCGGCATCAGCCGCCTCTTTTATAGAAGAATCTCATCAATATAGGTTAATCTCATCTTCTATTTGATATAGTACATACATATATTACTTGTATTTACATATATAGAAGAATCTCATCAATATAGGTTAATCTCATCTTCTATTTGATATAGTACATACATATATTACTTGTATTTACATATATTTCGTGAAATCTCCAGGCGGCTGGGCTATGTTTACCGCCTATTTCCGGTTGATAAGAGCGCCGATCTCACTGCACCCATTTTACAATGCCAAGGCCACCAAGTACGTTTCGTTCTAAGCTATCGCCCCCAAATCTGAAACATCTTGAAACAACTGATTCTTAGAAAGCTGATTATAGTTAACGTGGCATAAATGGCAGATGGAAGAAAATACGCTACCGGCTTAAGAATACAAGATCTTTGTTTGTTTTAATATGCGATGATATGTGTGTATTTTGCCAACTGTTCTTAATGTAAATCTAGATCCAAATTACTGGGCACAGCTGTTTATTGTAATCTCAGCCAGCCGTAGATTTCCCATCCTTTTGGCCACTGAAAGGAGGAGATTGGCCATGTTTCCATGCTTCGGTTTGGTCAGATCCTTTTGGCTAACCTAGAGCTTTCGGAGTTTGCTGGCGACGACGACGGGATTATCACGCCGGATTTCGCTGGCGCCCATTTCGCGATAGTCGAAATTGCACTCATGGCGGTCACTGTACCGGTGGACGGCGCAATAGGTGCCTCCACATCGACAGGGAAAACCGCCGGTGAGGCCGAGCTTCTTGCCGCACTTGTCGCAGCGTTTCTTGGCGGAGTCCTGGGCCTGGGCCTGATCCCGATCCTGATCCTGGCCGGAACCGGCGGACGTGTCCTGACTGGGAGCGCCATCCTTGCTGTTCACCGCCTTCGAATCCTGCTCTTCCGCCGGCGCCTGATCCTGCTCCTGCTGCTGCTGCTGCTGCTGGCGGTGCTGTTCCTGCTCCTGCTGCTTCAGGTGCTGGCTCTCCCCTTGCAGCTGGACGGATCTCGGCGGCTGGAGGTCTGCACCACTGCCGCACCAGATGATGGTATGCGGTACGCCTGCGCTTCCCATTTTCCCTGGTTTACCGAATCTCGCAGCCAGGCTCCGAAATCGGCTCTATTGTAGCATATTTTCGAATTTTGCAGCTCTGACCTGCTAGATGTCAGTGTTGGTCAAAGCCGAAAATGATTTTCGAACGGCCACAGTGATTTTTGACTTTCGAAACAAAGTTTCAAACCATTTCCTACACACTTACATACTTTTAGTTCATGCTTATCGATTGCTTGGGAATTGTAAACGGCAAAAATTGGAATTTCATATTGGATATATTTGTGTATTTGGATATTTGGATATTTCTAGGCATTGCCATTGATGACATCGGACATGTGGCGCTTGTACCACTCACCCACGGGAGTGGACATCACGCAGACGAAGGCCCGGAAACACCAGTCGACCGCGGCCTGCGCTCCCAATCCTCTGGAGCTCGTTTTCGCATTGCAGCCATTGATGACGGGCAGAGCCTGCTCCACATTGAGGCGTCTCTCGCCCCCGAAGCTTTGGATGATGCGCTGCGCCTGGAATCCGGTCTCATCCAGCCAGAGCTGCAGCCGCGACCAGAAGCAGTGGAGGTATTGCCGCACATGCGGAGCATCCTCGAACTGCATCTTGTCCAGCTGGTGACGCTGGTCGGGTGTCAGCCCCTTGCCGCACTCATCCCGTGCTCGCAGAAGGGCCAGCGAGTGGGCGGATCGGATGGGAGCCGGACTAACAGGTGGCGTCGGTTCCACCACCAGCAGCAGCAGCTGCAGCTGCAAGTAGAGGACCCAATATGCTGAATAGTATCAAACCCAACTTTCGGTGGGCTTCGTCCTTTTTCCCCTGTACAGTGTGACTCTATCTCTGTTTTCCATATTTCCCGACTATTGAGTAACGTTGCATTTGCATACAACAATGAGTATCTCGTCGCAGATGCATGACCTATTTGAGCGGTGCCCTTAGTGTCCAAGTGCAACCGGTTTGTTTGCCGGCACAGAGACACATACCAGCTGCGAATGGCCATAAATCTCATTTACTCACCATGAGTAACCGCATCATTCCCATGGCGATCTTATTCGGAGCACTGGCAGAGCTGGACTAAGTTCTAAAAGGAAAGCTGCATTGCATTAGCCCGATTCGCTATGCAATGCCAGTTGACCTATGATAACTCAAGCTATATTCAAACGTATATCCACTTTTTAAGGGCAATGTAGCTTCATATAAATATTTCATTATAATGTTGGGCACATGTAATGTGTAGGTCCAGATGAGCATATATGCTGCCTGCTGGCGATAGCATCTGTTTTGGAAAAGTGGAAACTCTCTGAGCAGAAAGTAAGGCGATTTTGGCCTATTCGAGTTTGGTTTTGGATCGAAATTGGCAGTCACAGCTGCCGTTCGTCATCTGCTTTATGTTAGCACATAGGTTCATACTCATATAGATCACGATCATCCGCAGATCTTGTGCATATGTGAATGGAACGCAGCAACATTTTCGCTTTCGTAACATTCCACGCCCGCAATTAGCTTGTAAACAAGTTCTTGGATTTGTTGTTTTTCGTTTTGCCTGCCACATCTCATCTCGTCTCGATTGGATACTTCAGGTGTGGACCCAAGGAATCGCGGAATCGGAATCCATGACCAAATCCGCATCCACATCCACAGCCACATCCACAGCCACATCCACAGCCACATCCACGGAAGCCAGAAAACATGGCGCGTTCAAAAGCAAATCAAATTGAATTCGATTCGACAGGCAACCGCAACGAGAGCAATAAAATTGATTGCGTTTAGGTGTAGAAATATCAAATGCGAATTTTGCCAAAATAAGTATCTGGCGGTCGGTGGGTGGACTTTTGGGGGCTTTGAAAATGTCCATGCCGTGTAATTGGCATTGAGGTGAATGAAGTTTGGCATTCCCCTGATGGCCACCATCTGTATGGTGGGGAAACTATTTGGTCCAGATACATATATGCCGAATCATAGCCAGCGATGCGGATCGGCTTCACAGAGATTTTGGAAAATACTCGAAAATATTCCGCATACAGATGTGTGCAAGTATTTGCATTAACCCTACTTTGAATACTTTTCGAATAATTTACTCAATGGCCTGAAACTTCAATTCATACCACTTTAAGTAAGCCGAAAAGTATGCTATGAAATGGTGCAAAGTTACCCACATTCAAATCTGTCTAGTTGAAGTTCAAGTTACAGCCATTAGGATCTTTGAAACAAATAGCATCCAAGGGTAAGCTCATCATTAGCCACACATCATTTGGAAAAGCAATCCGACTGAAATCGAGTGCGTTATGAGGTAAACAAACCGTTTCCATTCATGGCTGCTCATCTAGCGCATGTATCCGAGTATCTGTGTATCTGTATCTGTGTATCTGCATCTCCAATCAGCAGCTTCATCCTTCCATGGCGAAATCTTTACGCTTGCAGTGATCGCGTTGTACTTTATATACAGAGATATTCATTTCTATGCTACGTGGCTCATTCAGCGGCAAATTTGTCGCCTTTCGCAAATGCCCACCCTTCACCACCACAGGCCACGCCCCCTGCGCCCACACCGCCCCTTTTTGTTGGCCAATGTGACAAAGTCGAGCAAAAATTTTAATTGCTATTTTTTTCCTGTCGGTCTCGTCGTCGCATTGCATTTTGCCCACCTTAAAATTATAAGTAAAATTAACAATTTTTAATTGACTCTGAAAATTAGAGGAGGAGGAAAAGCAAAAGAGCTGCAACAATTACAGGAAAAGCGCGAAAAATGACATACATTTGGTTGCAGCTAATTTTGCTCGAACTTTTTAGTGGGCCGTATGTTAGAGGGTATCCATGGGGTATATGCGTACCATTTCGCATTTGAAATACTGTAAGCATTGCACATGTTATAGGAACCACATTTAAGCTAATATTATATATAATATATATATTTTCACACGCTCAAGCTTGAATATCACTCATACGTTTCGAAATCAAGCATACGCAGTGTGATCCGCTTGGTGAGGGATACGATTTGTTCCACTTCCATCGGACAAACAGTAGAAACATATGCATATGTGCAAAGTATTATTTGAATATACTTATTGGTGCAGCAAGTGCAGCACTGCGTGAGATTTTCATCTCGATTAACTTGCAATTAGCAGGCGCCTTGCAACGCATTTTCCATTTTCCATTTTCCATTTCCCATTTTCCGTTTCCACGTTCAGCCGGCCACGCAGGAAGTGCAGGTGCGAAAGTCCAGCGACAACAGGCTGTCTGGAGCGCACTCACCTGGCAACAAAGTAATTATGCTTCGCACGTATCTCGCCGCTGTGCATTCGAGTATCTCGTGGATCGCAACGGATGGGATATTCCGCGGTGGCAACTTTGTGACACGACATGGCCAATGGTGGCGCCAAATTCCCCATTGCCAGCGGAGCGGAGCAAAAACGCCTCGGAGCGCCAATAAATTGTTGTTTTTTTGTTTTTTAGTTCTATTTATTCGTATTTATTCTTTTTTGCACGGCATATGCATATTTTGCAAGCCATTTGCATACATCGAATTTTATTATAATATTTTGTTTGGGTCTTTGGCTTCTGCCTATTATTTATTTCACATTTTTTTGATACTTGTGCTGCTTGATTTGCTTGGCAGTATTTTGCATTTCATTAAATTAAAGTTGCTGCTGTCGGAAGGCAGAAAGGCAAATGCGGAATGGTTGGCCAATTCGCGCTGCATTCGATGCACGTGAGGCGTCTTCGTCATCGCTGCCATTCGGCGGGTGGGGGGTGTATGCGGGGTATGCTGCATCTTGCATCTTAAATCTGAAATATAAAATCTGAAATCTGCAATCTGCAATCCGCAATCCGAAATGTGAAATCCAACATGGGAAAACAGCGAGGTGACGAAAGGGTCGGCAAAGGCAGTGGCCAATTTGCAGTTTGTCGAATTCATTAAGTTGCTTTTGCTGGCACTTGCGCGACGCATGATCAAAACATACCGAATGCAAGCAGAAACTTTCATAATAATATTATTAATTCTCAGGGGAATAAGCAAATGCCCTTTTCGCTGCGCAGACAGTCAATTAAATATTTAAATCGGTTGCATTGCACAGCCTTGAAGCCATAAATGGCATGCAAACTCACTGTAATCCCAGAATGGGACCAAAACAAGTAAGTTTCGTTTAGAAAACATGGCTCTAACTTTACTCTGCTTAAGGGCCAAAATGTAGTCTGAAAATGATGTAATATGTGTGCTGTTTTACATTGCATGTTTTTTGCGCTATTTGTGATTTGGAAATATCCGGAATTCATTTCGGTTGCAGGCGGACACTGCTCGATACTTCCGTGGGCGCATTAATCAAGTGCCTTCGAGTGATTTAAGCCACCCCAGCAGACACTCAACCGGAGGGTGATGGCCACCGCCACCTCCGCCCATCTCGGCCAGAAACTCAGAGAAACCCGGCGGGATCGTTCATCATCCGCTGATGGGGCGGCATTCTTGGCGCAACTCCAGAGCGCTGTCAGAGATGCACAAATCCATGCCGTGTGGACTTGGATCCGTGTGTGCCGACAACACTCGAACACTCGTTTCGGATGTGCGGATATCTGTACATCCGCCGTCCGACAAGCAGCCATCCATCCGCTCGTGCATTCAACTGCACTGCGCGAAAAACCTTGCCACACATGTCCAATGCGAAGTACTCCAATATGGCAATAACATTTTATACCATTTTATGCCATTTTATGCCATTTTCTGTCATTTTCTACCATTTTATGCCATTTTCTGCCATTTTCTACCATTTTATACCATTTTATGCCATTTTATGCCATTTTAAAGCATTTTCTACCATTTTCTACCATTTAATAACACTTTATACCATTTTATAGCAAGCGTTTGACATCGACATGACTTGAAAAAAAGGGAACTATAGTAAAAATAATTATATGAAACTGTATAGAAACAATGGCAACCATTTTTTCAAGTGCTCCTGTCCAAACAGACGCCGAACAATGCGCTATCCATCAATCCCACCCGAGTGGTCACCAGGATTTCTCTGGTATATTGGACTGTCTGGGCTCCTGCTCCCAATCCCGCTGCCACCTGCCCCACCAGCCGCTTTCCATCTTCCCGATCCGCCAACGCCGCCCAAGAAATCGGGAATCGCAGCGCCGTGTGGCGCACATTGAATGCTGAGAAGCCCCCCGATTATCGTGCATCTTCGTATGGCGCTCGTTTCTGGCGAACTGGCGATCGTCGACAGCTTTCCGAATTTTCAGCTTTCCGCCGACTTTTCACATAAAAATCATGTGGGGCTGGAAAACGGCGACAGTTTACTCACGGCAGTCGCGAAATAAACGCTGCAGGCGAACCAATCCGTTCCCCAAAAGATTTCAAGACGAGAGATATAACCAGAGATCGGTTGCGAGGTCCTCGAGCACCAACTCAGGAGCTAACAGATTTCAGTTGGTGGAGATAGCAATCAGAAATAGTTAAAGATATATACCTCGAGAAATATTCGCCTGTGAACTACTTTTTGTTTGAGTGGAGCTGTACAAGTTTTGTGTGATCTGCGCGAAACACCGATCCCTGATCCCACCATGATCTGCCCGAAACGCACCTCGGAGCTGCTGGATCTGCACCTGGCGCCGTTTAAGGACAAGGATCCGGCCTGGGAGATCGGGGTCTCGAAGATCGCCGGACGCGGAGTGGTGGCCACCAGGAGCCTCAAGCGCGGCGAGATCATCTTCCGCGACAGTCCGCTGCTGATTGGACTGGCTGCCCACGAGGAGGACTCCCTGAACGCGTGCAGTGTGTGCCTGAAAATGCTGCCGGACACGAGGTTCATGTGTCGCCAGGGCTGCGGATTGCCCGTGTGCTCCCTGTGCGCCAAGAAGAAGCAGCACAAGAGCGACTGCGATCTGCTGAAGTCGTGGGGACCGAATGAGCCGGACGTGGCCAACTCGGTGATCATCCGGCTGCTGTGCGTCGCCAGGGCGCTCAACTTGAGCAAGGAGCAGCGCGACTTGATCTACTGCCTGCAGGCCAATCTGGATAACAATCATCGCACCGAGGTGCGCAATGCGGCCAAGTGCTTTAAGAACTTCCCCACCGACAAGAAGATCATCGA